AACATAACCTGTACACCTGAAATCAGGAATTCACCAGCTAGCAGTTAGCTAGAAACAAGCTGATAGAGGCTGGGCGGGGATTGGCAATAAGCAAATGTTATGCAATAGTTTTCTGCCAGATCTGGAATTGAAGAAGAGCACTTTAACTGAAGCTCAGGATCCAAAAAGATCTGGACAGATCTTGAACAACGGGCCCTATCCAACAAAATGAAATTTAACGTGGAAAAAAGCAAGGTTGTACACGTAGGCAGGATAAACCAAAGGTATGATTACAGTTTAGGAAAAACCCGGCTCAAAAACAGTAACTGCTCAGCTTGGAAACCTCTCCCTTTCCCCTCAGCATGGCTGGCTCAGGAATTCTGGGAGTTGAAGTCCATGAGTCATAAAAGAGCCAAGGTTGCCAAGCCCTGGCCTTGGCCTAGGCCGTTCTATGACTCGTGGACTTCAACTCCCAGAATCCCTGAGTCAGCCTGGCTCAGCTTGGTAACCTCTCCCTTTCCCCTCAGCATGGCTGGCTCAGGAATTCTGGGAGTTGAAGTCCATGAGTCATAAAAGGGCCAAGGTTAGCTACCCCTGCCCTAGACAATCTCATCACTGGAGTTGGATAGGGAGGAAATCTCTGTTTCTTCCCTGTGGCTTTAAACCTAGGACTAAGTTTAACTCAAGAGAAATTTTATAACCAATGACTCCGAAGAGAGTTTGTCCTGGAAATAAAAACTACTCCGATTTTTAGCTCTCTCCGGAGGCCATTACAACTACCTGGGTCATGAGAACCTTTAACAGCAATTCCAGCATCTACCTTGCCTGGTTTTCAAGATTTGCTTTGCTGGCTGTGGAATTCTGGGAGTTGAAGTCCACATGCCTTAAAATTGTCAAGGTTGAGAAACACTGTTCTAAGTGAACAAAGCGTATCTGCTGTCAACTTTCCAATTAATAGAAAGTTTTCTTCCACTCTCCCACACATTACTTTCAAAATCTAATATATATATATATATATTTTTCTCCTGTTTCTGAGATGTTACGGCCTCCATCCCAAAAAGTCCATTGAGTTGAACATGTTCTCTTCCAAAAAGGACATTGTCTCTCCCCCCCCCAAACCAGTCATGAGGCCCAGCGCTGGATTATTCAAGAAAAGAAGGATTTTTATTTGAAATGAAAACAACTAAGGGTGGGTTACCTGAAAGAATAATTTAGCAACCACCGATGGCACAAGGCCGAATAATCTGTAATCGGTTGGAGCAAACCAGGAAGGCAGAGAGAAGACTGAAGCAGGTCACTCAAACTCAAGCAGGCAGTGTTGGACAGAAGTGAAGTTATTCTTCACGCAATTAATGCTCCTTAACAGCTTCATGAAAAGCCATTCGCCCAGGGCTTTCTAAGCCTGAGGTCACATTAGCTGGCCTGGTCTCATGAAATCTCCTTTCTTCAGATTCTGACTTCCTGGGGAAGGAAGCAACCCACCACAACTCTTCGAGAGCTTCATCTCTCCTGGGTCTCACCCTTCATCCACCCTGGAGAGGACAGTGCCCATGCCTGAAGGTAGCCACCAAGAATTAAGAAAGCAACAGGGCACCAAGGGGGAGAAGGCAGTTCTGTATGCATTTCAGAAGGGAGGGAGGGAGGGAGGAAGGAAGGAAAAGAAAGAAAAAGAAATGAAGGAAGAAGGAAGGAAGGAGGGGGAGGGGAGGGAAAGGGAGGATGGGAGAGGAGGGGAAGGAGGGGAGGGAGAGGGTAGGAATGAAGGAAGGAAAGAGAAGGGGAGAGGAAGGAGGAAGGGGAGGAGGGAGAAAGAAAAGAAAAAAAGAAAGGGAGGGGAGGGAGGGAGGGAAAGGGAGGATAGGAGATGGGAGGGGAAGGAGGAGAGGGAGGCAGGAAAGAAGGAAAGAGGGAGGGAGGAGAAATGAAGGAAGAAAAGAAGGGGAAGGGAAGGAGGGAGAAAAAAGGAAGGAGTGAAAAGAAAGAAAAAGAAATAAAGGAAGGAAGGAAGGAAGGAAGGAAGGAAGGATGGGAAGGGAAAGGGAGGAGATGGGAGGGGAGGGGAAGGAGGGAGAGGGCAGGAATGAAGGAAAGAAAGAGAAGGGGAGGAGGGAGAAAGAAAAGAAAAAGAAAGAGGGAGGGGAGGGAAAGGGAGGAGAGGAGATGGGAGGGGAAGGAGGAGAGGAAGGAAGAAAAGAAGGAAAGGGAGGGAGGGAGGGAGTAGAAAGGAAGGAAGGAAAGAAGGGGAAGGGAAAGAGGGAGAAAGGAAGGAAGGGGAGAGGAGGGAAATGGAGGAGAGGAGATGGGAGGGGAGGGGAAGGAAGGGAGGGAGAGGGTAGGAATGAAAGAAGGAAAGAGAAGGGAAAAGGAAGAAGGGGAGAAAGAAAAGAAAGAGAAAGAAAGAAAGGAGGGGACAAGAGGGAAAGGGAGGAGAGATGGGAGGGGAGGGGAAGGAGAAGAGGAAGGAAGGGAGGGAGAGAGGGAGAGGGAGAGAGCAGAGAAATGGGAAGGAGGAAGGGAGGGAAGGAAGGAAGGAAAGAAAGAAAGTGTATTTGGCCAACTGCATAGCGCACACTTACACAGAATGAACGTTAGAACGGATTCAAGAGCCAGAAGCATAAACAGAGGTTTTGCAAAGGCATGTTTACAGCTGAGCGGCCTTCAGCGGTTGTTCCTCGCTGACCCCCTTCCATCCCCCCCCTCTTCTACTCCCCCCCCCCGCCCCGGTCTTGCTAGTATTTAAAAACACATTCTGAACAGAAGCCTGTAGCCAGGGCTGAGAATGGCTGGCAGGGGAAGGGTTGAAGCTGACAGCTCGCTTGTAAATATAGAACATAAAGCACGGGGCAGACCTCGTATCCAGATCAGCAGTGTTCACATGTCGGAGGGAAGACCGGCACGCTGGCATTTGATGGCCACTCAGCTATTCGGGCAGCGCTCCAAAGAGCTTCCCACGCAGAGTGGCAGGCTGCCAACCACGATCATGTGAAGGCCCAGTCCAAAGGGGCTGCGATCCGTGGCCAGGGTCCTAGGGTGGGGCTGCTGCCTCCCTCACCTGTCCCTCCAAATGTTCATTTTGGTTTTATGGCTTAGACTTAGATTTGCGCCCTTTGATCCAATCAATCCGAATAGAGCTGGAAGGGACCTTGGAGGTCTTCTAGTCCAACCCCTTGCTCACGCAGGAGACCCGACATCATTCCAAACGAACGGCTGTCCAATCTCTTCTTAAAATCTTCCAGTGTCGAAGCACCCGCAACTTCTGCTGGCAAGTCATTCCACTGGTTAATTTGTCCTCACTGTTAGGAAATTTCTCCTTAATTCCAGGTTGCTTCTCTCTTTGGTTAGCTTCCCTCCATCGTTTCTTCTCGGGTGCTTAGGAAAATAAGTTGACCCCCTCTTTTTTGTCGCAGCCCTTCAAATACTGGAATACTGCTGTCATGTCACCCCTAGTCCTTCTTTTCTCTAGCGTGGTCATACCCAATCCCTGCAACCATTCTTCATATGTTTTATCCAACAAAGAAATTCTTCTTGGACCCACCCCCCAATAACCAAAGTTGATAGGGCATGGTAGGACACAGATCCCCAGAGAGGTTGTGGGACTCCTGGTGCATTTTCGAAAGCCTAGTTGCCTGAATCCAGGTCTTCTCATGTTTTCCTGAGGTAAATTTGTTGGATTCCATAGCCAGCTGCAAAAACTGATATTTATCTATACTGTTTCAAGTTTCAGTTACGCCCTTCTTAGCTCGAAGGCCACACCTCATGATGAAATTGTCAACAGTGAGGTCTCCAGATTTGATCTATAACATAGTTAAGGGAATTCCTTTGGAAATGCAGTCTGAATTATCATTCTTTGGGATGATCATCCAGAGCAGGACTTCAATCCAATAGGTCTAAGAACACACCATGTAGTTTCACAGAGTGCAACTTTGAATTAAGCTAGCTTAGATGCTGAGGTTTATGTATGGCTTCTGCAGTGTGCAGAAAGTCAAAAGGATGAATCTTGGGCGCCCTGGTTACTACATAGATATCCCAGAGCAATGCAAACATTTCAGGTGACAGGGATGAATAGAAAGATGGCAAATTCAATGTAAATTTTCCCCCAAGTAAACTCAAGACACAACCGTGAAGCTTAGAAGGCATCAGAATGGACCACACACCTTCCACCATCCGGAACCCCATGACGGATGCCTCTCCTAGTTTTGGGTGGCCTCCGTCCTGTGATATAACGCGAAGTTTTAAGATGTCTTGGTGGGACTGTAGAGGACATTTTCAGGAAGAGAGAAGGCTGGGAAAACTTGTCAAGGAGCAGGAGAGGGAATGCATTGGGTTGTGTTTCTTGGTTTGCCTTGGGTCACGTGAAGGTGTGCAGCCATGAAAGACATGTGCTCCCTCACCATCTAATGTCAGGAACCCTCAACCGTTTTGCTGATTAGCAGGCCTGGCCAGAGAGCATTACTGATCAAGCGTGTGAAGCTGGAAATGCTTATGAAGAGAAATTAGAAGGACACGCAAAGGAGACAACATGCTAATTGGTACCTTTATCCATGGTATGAACCTAGGGACAGAGAGACAATTCTCTTCCTCTCGAATAACAGGAGAGCTTGGAGTGATTGCCTGGACTTCAGTAATCAGGGAAGAAAAGTACGTTGAGTTATGATATTAATAATAATAATAATAAAGTTGGAAGGGACCTTGGAGGTCATCTAGTCCAACCCCCTGCTCAGGCAGGAAACCCTATACCATTTCAGACAAACGGCTGTCCAGTCTCTTCTTAAAAACTGCCAGTGTTGGAGCATTCACCGCTTCTGGAGGCAGGTTGTTCCACTGGTTAATTGTTCTAACTGTCAGGAAGTTTCTCCTTAGTTCTAGGTTGCTTCTCTCCTTGATTAGTTTCCATCCATTGCTTCTTGTCCTTCAGGCCCCTTGGAGAATAGCTTGACTCCTTCTTCTTTGTGGCAGCCCCTGAGATACTGGAACACTGCTATCATGTCCCCCCTGGTCTTTCTCTTCATTAAACTAGACATCCCCAATTCCAGCAACCGTTCCTTATATGCTTTAGCCTCATGTCCCCTGATCATCTTTGTTGCTCTTCTCTGTACTCTTTCTAAAGTCTCAACATCTTTTTTACATCATGATGACCAAAACTGGATGGCATCCAAAGGCTTTCAGGGAGATCCTGACTTTAAGGAAGATGGTCAGTGGTTACTAGATATGATGGGTTATATGCCGGCTTCAGAATGGGAAGCCTCTAAAAGCTGTTTCTCCGTGAACATCCGTCGGAGGAGATGACGTCCTCACATCCTCTCGTCAACCTCTTTAAGAAATCTGGTTGGCCCCTTTGGGGATGAGGATGTTGGAGTAGAAAAAGTGATCCTGTTCCAAAGAGGACTCCTTGCATGTCCTCCTCTTAGCTCAGTGTAATTAGTAATCATAACAAATGACAGAGCTGGATTATATGACCAGGGACAGCAGAATATAATCTTCCCCTGGGTGGAGGTCTCTGGAGCAGATGGTGTGGCTATATACAATAGGCGTCCAACCCACGAGGACGGCATGTCTATTATTGGAAAGGCTGACACGTAACTCTTCAGAAATGATTCAGAAGAAACACTTCAGGACTTATGGGAATCTCTCTGACGTGTTTCAGACTTCGGCCTGAAAAATGGATGCGGCTGCTTTGAAGAGCCCACTTGTAATGCATCTCTTTAAAGCAGCGTCTCCTTCCCCCCCCCCAGAAGCCTGAAGAAAACTGGGCTGCTTTAATGGACAGGAAAGAGATGCTGTTCTCCTGGGATATCCAAAGCTTAGCTCATCATGAAATTTGCTCTCAGCAACACGCGTGTGTTATTCGAAACAACCCATGCGAGAAAACCAAGCAATCAAGTTGTTAAGAAAACGGGGGGGGGGGTGTTTTCTTTGCGGTCTTATGAATCTAAAATCATATATGGTTTTGTAGTCACACAACATATATTAAGGGGGGATTTATAGATTCATGAGGCCTTAATTATTGTTCTGTGCCTCCTTGCCCTTGGTCCCCATATTCTATTATGTTTCATTTAGCGTCATGCCGGCCACATTTGTGATCTCCTGCTTTTTCCCTAGAAGGAAATGGATTGGACTAAAACGGAGGTCTCCAAATTTGGCAACTTTTAGTCTTGCGGACTTCAACTCCCCAAATTCCCTAGCCAGCCAGCATGGGGAATTCTGGGAGTTGAACCATAAGTCTTAAAGTTACCACATTTGGAGACCCCCTGGACTAAAACACGATCAGTTTTTTAAAAAATTCCGTTCCAGCCGCGTATAAAACTGGAACGGATGCACACTAATGACCGCGAACATCCATGGAAGTGGAAATGTGCAAGAAGCTACCAAGAGCTGATGTCTCCATTTCGGTGTCTTCTCTTCCAGAAAATGTTCACGGTTCCTGCTCTAGCACCAAAGGCAGGATGCATAATTCAGAGGCACGTTGGGGAGGAGGAGGTTCTCTGGCAAGACGGTTTGGCAACAATTTTTGTAAAAATGCACCATCGGGTAGTTCTTTTGATGTACCTGAACGGATGCGTCCACACGTTTCTTGTTTTAGCAAGAGGAAGGTATACTTGGTGGCTTTCCTTGAGACCGTCCTCTCTTTCCCTACACTTTGGCTGGTTGGCCTCCCGCGGCAGCTTGGGACTGCATCCGGGTTCCGACGTAAAAGACTTGATACCGATCCTTCCACATCACGAAACAGGCCACAAATCCCACGACGGCTGCCAGGAAGTTAAGGAGGAACTGGATCAGCAAGAAGAGGTAGAAGGTATTTGTGAGGAAGCTGCAGTCGCTCTGGTAGGTGATGGTGCGGCTGAGGGGGTCCGCCGCGTCCAGTTTGCAGTGGCAGACCGCATCAGAAATGGGTTCGCAGGTAAAGCGGACGATCTGGGAGTAGCAGTAGGCAGCGAAAGCCATGGCCAAGATGCAGACGTTCAGACTCAGCGCACTCAGGAGGAAATAGGCAACCTGGGACGGAAGCGGAAGAACCGTCTGAATACATATTGCAAGGAATATCCTGCAGGTTGATGAAGTTTGCCATTCCCAACTGCCTCCAAGCATATGCAAAGTTTGGATATGGTTGGGCCAGCAAAATGAGAGAAGAGAAGAGAAGAGAAGAGAAGAGAAGAGAAGAGAAGAGAAGAGAAGAGAAGAGAAAAGAAGAGAAGAGGAAGGGAAGGGAAGGGAAGGGAAGGGAAGGAGAGAGGAGAGGAGAGGAGAGGAGAAGAGAAGAGAAGGGAAGGGAAGGAGAGAGGAGAGGAGAAGAGAAGAGAAGAGAAGGGAAGGGAAGGGAAGGGAAGGGAAGGAGAGAGAAGAGGAGAGGAGAAGAGAAGAGAAGAGAAGAGAAGGGAAGGAGAGAGGAGAGGAGAGGAGAGGAGAAGGGAAGGGAAGGGAAGGGAAGGAGAGAGGAGAGGAGAGGAGAGGAGAAGACTGAACCAGAGAGAGGGAGAGGGTAGGGGAGGAGAGGAGAGGGAGGAGAGGGGAGAGGAGACTGGATCAGGGAGAGGGAGAGGAGAGGAGAAGGGATGAGAGAGGAGGGGAGGGGAGAAGAAAAGAAGAGGAGAGGAAAAGAGAAGACAGAATTGGAGAGGGTAGGAGAGGGAGGGGAGAGAAGAGTGGATCAGGGAGAGGGAGAGGAGAGGAGACTGGATCAGAGAAAGGGAGAGGAGAAGGGTTGAGAGGAGGGGAGGGGAGGGGAGAAGAAAAGAGGAGAAAAGAAGAGAAGACTGAATCAGAGAGAGGGAGAGGGGAGGAGAGGGAGGAGAGGGGAGAGGAGACTGGATCAGGAAGAGGGAGAGGGAAGAGGAGAGAGAGGAGAGGAGACTGGATCAGAGAGAGGGAGAGGAGAAGAGAAGGGATGAGAGAGGGAGAGGAGAAGAGAAGAGAGGAGGGGAGGGGAGAAGAAAAGAGAAGAGAAGAGAATGAATCAGAGGGAGCGGGTAGGAGAGGGAGGAGGGGAGAGGAGGGGAGGGGAGGGGAGAAGAAAAGAGGAGAGAAGACTGAAAGAGAGGGAGAGGGTAGGAGAGGGAGGAGGGGAGAGGAGAGGAGACTGGATCAGGGAGAGGGAGAGGGAAGAGGAGAGAGAGGAGAAGAGACTGGATCAGAGAGAAGGAGAGGAAAGGAAAAGGGATGAGAGAGGGAGAAGAGAAGAGAAGAGGGGAGGAGAGAAGAGAATTTTATTTGTGATATGTGTTCTTCCCGTGACATGTTCTTCTTTTGGGGATTTTGGGGAATGGCAGTTTCTAGGAATTGCACACATATATTGTTAAGCTGCCCAGAAGTATCCTGTGGTAAAACGGGCAGCCAATACATTTGATAGATAAATCAATAAATACCTCCCCCGTTTCCTTTTTAAACTAAGGTGTTCTTACAAATCAAAATTATACACCTAGATACATGCATTTAGGCACATAGTTGAGTGCAGGATTCATCAGTCAACTTGATTTCAAAATAGCAGTTTGTGTGGTGAATTGGGATACATGAGGGTATTGGTAACAATTATTAATTTTCCACGATATTCCTGTATTCCTGAATGTCAGCTCCAGTCTATCTTCTACACTCTGCATGTATCCAAATGTGGATCTTTAGATTTGGCTGAATCTAGCTTGCCCTGTCCACTCCTCAACACGAAAATACCCCTTGCTCCCTTCTCCATTCAGACTTGGTCAGTCAACGGATCTTCTATTTTTTCTTGCTCTCAAAGGTCCAATAGCACCAGATCTGCTTTCGAGGTACAGTAGATTATATATGAATAGGGAGATATTTTTTTTGTCTATTAAAACACTTGCTGGAGAAGACTCCTGCGAGTCCCCTGGACTGCAAGGCGATCAAACCAGTCAGTCCTAGAGGAGATCAACCCTGACTGCTCTTTAGAAGGCCAGATCCTGAAGTTGAAACTCAAGTCCTTTGGCCACCTAATGAGAAGGAAGGACTCACTGGAGAAGAGCCTGATGCTGGGAAAGATTGAGAGTAAGAGAAGAAGGGGACGACAGAGAATGAGGGGGCTGGATGGAGTCACTGAAGCAGCAGGCGTGAGCTTAAATGGACTCCAGAAGGTGGTAGAGGACAGGAAGGCCTGGAGGAACGTTGTCCATGGGGTCGCGATGGGTCGGACATGACTTTGCAACTAACAATAACAAAGACATTAAATTAAGGTGTTGGGTATTCTTATTTGAGTTCCTTTATATATTAAAAACAGAGTCTGATATAAGATATAAGCTAAAGCCACATCTAATTATTTAATACTGCCTTTTTCACTAATGGAATGGAATGATGGAGGAGGAGGAGGAGGAGGAGGAGGAGGAGGAGGAGGAGGAGGAGGAGGAGAAGAAGAGTTGGAAGGGGCCTTGTATGTCTTCTTTTTTTGTTATATATGTTCTCTCAGAATATAGATTACAAAGCTCTACAAACACTATCCGTTCTCATTCTTTGCCTTCCAACAACTACTATATAAAAGTTCACCTCTACGTAGAAACGTTTCATAGGGCTCTCATAATTATTGGTTAAATTGCCTGTATTTAGCCATTTAAGCTAATAGTGTCCATTCTCGTATGAATTATGAATTTTATAATTATGAATTATAAAAATCCCTTCTTCTGTTTATCCCCAGAATCTATTGTTACATCATTTTACCTGATGGCCCAAATTTTTGGTATTATACAATACTGTATGTGTGTGTGCGGGCGTGTGTCTGTGTGGGGAGGGGTTTGATGGAATTCTTTATTCAGTATTATATATTCTGCATTTTATTTCTCCCTCAGCAAGTTGACATTTTTGTTTCCTTACATAAAGAGTTCTCCTTTTCATGTGTTCACAGCCTGAGCTATCAATATAACAGCAGTCTGATGATCTTGAGGTTCTTAGCATGTACACCTTGATAAAATCTATAGGCCAGGTATATGTGTCTTCTGTCTACGATGGGTAAACTGTGAGTAGCTCGCTTGCTGGTTTTATGAATGGAAAATGAAGCTAAAGGAGATTGGGAAGGACACCAAAGAAACTCAAAACAGAAATCTCTCTGCAGGATTTTCCTAGTTGAGATCTTGTTCTTCAAAGCTTTTGGAACTTCATTCCTTAACAGAAACTTTCAGTGACTAAAAGCTTAAGACCACGTTAAGCATCTGATAGTTTGCAGCTGGGTGAGTGGATGGATAGATGGGTGGGTGGGTGGGTGGATAAATGGATGGATAGATAGATGAACAACTAGATGGATAGATGTAAGGATGGATGAATGGAGGGAGGGAGGGAGGGAGGATGGATCGATGGACAGATAGACATATGGGTGAATGGAAGAATGGATGGATTGATGGATAGATAGATAGATGGATGGATTAATGGATGGATGATGGACAGATGAATGGATGATAGATGGATGGATGGGTAGATACTCTTTCCTTAAGTCTGCCCAATATAAAAAAGGAAGATAGGAATTCACCTTCAGAGCTGGGCAAAAAAAAAATCTGGGAAGTTTGAATTTTAATAAAAGGCTAAGTTGCTATCTCGGTAGCAATATTCAGTTTCCTCCATTGGGCCACCAAATTCAAGGATTTAATTCAAAGCATTCTAGAGTCTTCATTTCATGATCGCTTTAAAGGTGTTATCAGGAACGTATAAAGAAATTCAAGCTATGATGATGTGAACATCATGTTTAGCATAGGTTCAAACTTATTTATTTGGGGAATTTGGGAGATAGAACGTAGGGCAACGGTTCAGGGAGACTGACTGGCTTTCGTAAGCTTCAATGAGATAGCTGAGGAGTTTGGACTTATTTTTCTTGTTGCATGATTTTATTAAAAATAGGAGACATGGCTAAGAAATCTCTTTAGTTCCCTTATGTAAACAGTTTCCTTCTCTGGTCTACCTTGTTTGACTGGCAACATATTAGTAGAAATGGAATTTGAACAGAAAACACCATGACAAATGAGTAGTTACTAGTATAGCTGGTTCTGAAAACGTTCAAACAATCAAAAATGCGGATTTTTGAAACGTCAGCTCTGGTTGGTGGATATACTGAATCTACACTTCTAGCTAGATATGGGGAAAGAATCAAGGAATAATAGGAACAGGAAGGTCCGTTGGATCTGCTCAAAAACTCAAGATGGCAGCTGTAACATGTGGCTGAAGCTGCTTGTTGTTTTATGGGCATTGTTTTTAATGCAGACACCACACACACAAACAGAGCTTTAATTGTAACACTGCAGCTGCCATCTTGACTTCTTTGACCAGATTCTGCAGACACTCTGAATAGGAAAGATCCCTGGATCACCACTGACTCACAGATCTCTGGAACCTGCTCCTCCAACCTTATTTTCAGATGGAATAATCAGTTCTTCTCCAAACGAAGAAAGCTAAACCACGTACCTTGATGAAGAACTGAATGCAAGTTTTCTCATCCGGCTGGTAAGAAATACAAAGCATCACAAATCCGATGAGGGCCACCAGACAAACCTGGAGAGAGAAAGATGAATAAATTGAAATTTAAAATTGGAGCAAAGATAGAGGAGGACCTGGCCAGACCCAAACCCTCCATTATCAATTTAGGAGATCAGATAGTTAACAAAATGACAGAATAACCGAGTTGGATGGGACCTTGGAGGTCTTCTAGACCAACCCCCTGCTTGAGCAGGAGACCCTATACAATTCCAGACAAATAGTTGCCCAGTCTTTCCTTAAAAGCCTCTAGTGATGGAGCACCCACAACTTTTGGAGACAAGCCGTTCCACTGATTAATTGTTCTCACGGTTAGGAAATTTAGTTCTGCCAACCTAGATTAGTTTCCATCTGTTGCTTTTTGTTCTGCCTTCTGGTGATTTGGGGAATAGTTTGTCCCCCCCCCTTCTTTGTGGCAGCCCCCCCAAATATCAGAACATTGCTATCATGTCACCCCTGGTCCTTCTTTTCACTAGATTAGTTGATGCATATCATTATCACATCTTTACAAGGTCTGCCCAATCATTCATTTAGTGCTTTTGACTGGTGGATCCATCCCAAGGATCCAGAATAGCAATATTGTTATACTATAGGCACCGTTCTAAGTAATGCAGTAATTGATGAGAAGAAATTTTGCCTATTCTTCTTGCGTCCAACTGCATCATCACCATCACTGATTTCCCTATAATACAATTTCTACAGTCTCTCCAAACATTAGCATAGTAAAGTATCATACCAAAACATACAGTATACATTAGAATACATTAGAATAGAATAGAATAGAATAGAATAGAATAGAATAGAATAGAATAGAATAGAATATATGGAACAGAACAGAATAGAATAGAATAGAATAGAATAGAATAGAATAGAATAGAATAGAATGGAATGGAATAGAATAGAATACTTTATTTGACCAAGTGTGATTAGACACACAAAAGTGTGATTAGACACACAAGGAATTTGTCTCCGGTGCAGAAGCTCTCAGTGTACATGCAAAGCAACAGTGTAATAATAACCATAATAATGATCCCAATAAGAGGGGGTAGTAGAGAAGATAATAAGAAGGATAATGATAATATTACAGCCATACTATATGAGTAAATATATATCAACCTCCATAGATATACATAAATATATACATAGAAATATTGATATCTGTTCCTAAAATTGGAATTTGGCCAAGGTAAACTAATGTTTCAAAAGGGAATTAAGATTGTTGAAGTTATATAGCAATGTAGTTTACATCCTCGTTATACTATCAACTGGAATCTGTCCACTTATTGCCTTTGGGATCCACTCTGTCTTTACATTATTGTAGAAAATTAGGATATATAATTTGCACAGATTCTATAAAATACTATTTTACATCATTCTCAAACTTGTCACAATATGTTGAATTAAATATGTCTTCACAGAGGCAATTTCAGTGATAACCTGATGGTGAAAATTCCCATTAAAATGCTGTGAAGATGAATATTACATGGAGATTAATATGTATTTTAAGAAAGGATGGCAGTGGCTAATTCCTATTAGGTATTTGAGACAAATTGTTAAAAGTTATGGCATTTTAAAGCCCCTAGAATATCTCTGGCTAAATTTACAGCAACTTTACGGAGACAATAGGTTTAACCTTGCTGGATTTAATTTTATCATTTAGATTCCTTTGGCGTGAGATTTATTACGATTATTTTCCTCTTTGGACTCATTTGGAGTGGAAGTTGGTAATTCCTTCCACTAAAATGAGGATTCTTCATTTCCTGCTGTGTTCAAAATGCCAGATATTTGTTTACAGGTAGTCCTTGACTTATAACAGTTCATTTAGTGACGGTTCAAATCTACAACCGCATTGAAAAAAGGGACTTACAACTGTTTTTTCACACTTACAACTATTGAAGCATCCTCGTGGTCACATGATCAAAATTCAGACGCCCGGCAATTGACTCATATTACAAAGGTTATAACCTCCCGGGGTCACGTGATCCCCTTTTGCGACCTTCTGACAAGCAAAGTCAATGGGGAAGCCAGATTCACTTAACAACCGTGTGTCTAATTTAACAACCTGCAGTGATTCACTTAACAACTGTGCCAAGAAAGGTCGTAAAATAGGGCAAACCTCACTTAAGAAATGTTTTGCTTAGGAATTCTGGACTCCATTGTTGTTGTAATTTGAGGACTAGCTGTATGTTGTTTCTGAACCAGTTGAGAAATTGATGCTGTGATATAATTCAAACTCGAAAGATTATCTCTTGGAACACCTGGATTAAAAAAGGGACTAATACTTTAAAGCAGTTGGCTTTTCACAACTCTGAGAGATTTTTGTCTCAGATTTGACTTCAGCACATAATAATAATAATAATAATAATAATAATAATAATAATAATAATGAAGTTGGAAGGGACCTTGGAGGTCATCTAGTCCAACCCCCTGCTCAGGCAGGAAACCTTATACCATTTCAGACAAATGGCTGTCCAGTTTCTTCTTAAAGACTTCCAGTGTTGGAGCATTCACCGCTTCTGGAGGCAGGTTGTTCCACTGGTTAATTGTTCTAACTGTCGGGAAGTTTCTCCTTAGTTCTAGATTGCTTGGCAGAATTTTTAGAGTTTCAAAGATACCTGCAATGCTAGCTTTTTTGAAAAGACGATTGTCCTGGAACAGAAACCAGCAGTACAATTTTGTAAGGTATCAACATGTGAAATTAAATTTGTATCCCTTACATGTTTGACCTGTGGGAAGCAAAACTGAAAAAATTTAGAGTGGGTTCTGATGTTAAAAATATGGGAAATACACTTCCTATGGCTTATACTATCCAACTGATTTGGCATTTTCGACTTTATAGATCCTGGATTAAAGAGGATAAATACTACATAACTGGAAAGAAAGTTACTCTTCTAATTTTAAGAAAGAGATCCATCATATGAGTTTGTTATCTATTTTATAAAAATGTATGTACCTGTTCCTGCGTTGTTTAGATTTTATGATGGGCTCAACAACTGAATTAATTCTGTATTACTATTCATATTTATTTACATTGATCATATTGGTCTCAGTTGGAACTACTTGTTCATTTTAATTCCTGTGACAAAACTGGGTCTTCTTTTTAGTGGGTAATCAACACGAGTGCATTCACCATTCGCTTTCACTCCTCCAGCATTGTGTCTTAACAACCGCTACAGGAACAAAGTCGCTCCTTAGCAACGACTAACAAAATTTCTGGATGATGTGTTTACAGTTTGTCATCACTAGTCAACTTCTCTTGCCTAAGAAGTGGAAAAAGTTTCCCAAAACCTTTTATGGCAGCCGAAGTGGATTGTACCTTACACAGGGTGCTGAAAAAGGAAATCTAAGGGAGAGAGAGAGAGAGAGAGAGAGAGAGAGAGAGACGAACAGATGGACAGACAGATACTAGATATAGATAGATGACAGAGATAAATAGATGATATAGATAATAGATAGATAGACAGATAGATATAGAGAGTAGACTAGATAGATATAGATAGATGACACACACACACACACAAACACACACACACACACACACACAGAGAGAGAGAGATGGACAGAGACAGAGATACTAGATATAGATAGATGATGGATGATATAGATAATAGATAGATGATAGATAGATAGATAGATAGATAGATAAATAGATAGATATAGAGAGTAGACTAGATAGATATAGATAGATGACAGAGAGAGGGAAGGAGAGAGAAAGAGTCAGACAGACAAACAGATTAACAGACAGATATTATAGATAGATGATGGATGATAAATAGATGATAGATATAGATAATGGATAGACAGATAGATTTAGAGAGTAGACTAGATAGATGACAGAAAGAGAGAGGGGGGGGGAGAAGCTGTCAATGCCTCAAATTATAGAGATGTGCCCTACAAAACCGGAGCACATTCCCATTTATCAATGGGTAAAATGATAATGATGTCACATTAACCAACTAGGGAACAACATCAGTGCTAGAAGAGAGAGGGGTCTGCTTTCTCTTTATATAGAACTTGCCCTGTCAGTATTGATGGTTCCTTGTTTGGACTGTTTACAGTTAGTTTCTTAGGCAGTTCCACCAAGGCCACTTCCACCAAGACCGACAGGGCAAGTCACTAGAATATAAAATGAGAACAAACCCTACCTCCTTCTTAGCACTGATGATGTTCCCTAGTTCGGTTGTGAAATGTCTCCAAGAAAACCACCAAGCTCAGAGAGGACCAAGGACCCCTCAGAAAAACGGGATTTGCCTTAGTCCTCAATATTGTAATGGGCAGGAGTTGGTAGAAGGAAAATAAAGATGGAACATGGGCTGACACACACACACACACACCCCTCCATCCTCACTCTTTACTTGTCCCATTGGATGTCCCTCTAGCACAGTGGTTCTCAATCTTTTTAATGCTGCGACCCCCAACCGGTCATAAGTCGAGGACTACTCAACCGGTTGTAAGTCGAGGACTACTCAACTGGTGCAGCACCGTTTGCAGAATGGGACTTTTGGCAGGCTCAGCAGGGCAGAGACAGCCTGGACAATTCCTATTGGCTTTTGAAAGCCAATAGAATTGGACTCTATTCAAGAGAGTCTATTCTATTGGCTTTCAAAAGCCAATAGAATAAAAGGGAATAGCACAGCTAAGGAAAAGGGGGGGGGGGGAAATGGCGGACTGCGTTGTTTGGCGACCCCCGTGAAATGGTCGTTCGACCCCAAATGGGGTCCCGACCCACAGGTTGAGAACCACTGCTCTAGCACACGGGTGATCACGTGATGTGTCGCGACTTTTTTTGCACTGCTGGACCTGGGATGGATGCGGCCTCTGTATGATGCAACCGGCCCGCGTGCTGGCAGTTTGACACCCCTGCTCTAGCTAATAATAAAAAAAACACAGCCCACCATAACTTGTGGGCCCGCCACCATCATATTACTGTAAAAAATAATATGGGTGGTGCAGAGACTCACTTAGTTTAAAACCAGATGGAGCCACATGTGTCAGCAAATAAGTGTAGCGCTGAGCAGAACGCGGGCTGGGGTACATCAAATATATATAGAAACCCTGCTCAAGTTACACTCCACATACATATTTATTTACTCAACATCAATCTGTTCTGAGACCTGACCGAGCTGGAGGCGAGCACGCTGCAATCTATGGGGCACCACGTTCCTTCACCAGGAGAAATGGCCTTATGGGCTTCCTACTTAGGTGACCAAGTCCCCAAGATAGCATGGTGTTTTTTTAATTGGGGAGGGGGGTCCCATCTAACCCCAACCCTGCTTTTGGCATAAAGGCCCTTTGGGGTTTTTCAAAACTTGGCCAACATCAAAGCGTTGGGCACCGAAGCAAAGAATTTAGGGGCCAAGAAGACCAAGTAGCCACTTGTTGGATCCCAGTCTTAATTCCACAGCCTCAGCCTAAAAAAAATTCATCATGGAATCCCCTTTATCTGATTGGCCTGTGGGCTGGTAGGATGGCTGGCCCAAAAATGAGAAGCTTTTTTCCAACTACGTCTCTGTGTAGCCACATCTTCCTTCCTTCCAATAAAGGAGAATGTTGAACAGCTCAGGGTTGAACTGTGGGGTCCGTGGTGGTCCCTGAGCTTGGTTTTCTTGAAGACGTTTCATGACCCAACAAGGGAACGTCATCAGTGCTAGAAGAGAGAGGGCTTTGTAAAAAGGAGAACTGGGGGGTCCTGGGTGCTCTCTGCACGTGGTAGTTTTCTTGCAGAGGTTTCATTACTAAACTAGGTAACGTCATCAGTGCACTGCACGAAAACAACCAAGCTCAGAAGTCACCGACCCCACAGTCCTCCTCCTCTGAGCACTGATGATGTTACCTAGTTGGGTCATGAAACGTCTGCAAGAAAACAAAGAGTTCAAGGATCCCACAGTGGTGTTGTTTCCAGTGGTTCTTCTTCTTCTTCTTCTTCTTCTTCTTCTTCTTCTTCTTCTTCTTCTCCTTCTCCTTCTCCTTCTCCTTCTTCTTCTTCTTCTTCTTCTTCCTCCCCTCCTCCTTCTTCCTCCCCTCCTCCTCCTCTTCTTCTTCCTCTTCCTCCTCCTCCTCCTTCTTTCTTCTTCTTCTTCTTTCCTCCTCCTCCTCCTCCTCCTCCTCCTCCTTCTTTCTTCTTCTTCTTCTTTCCTCCTCCTCCTCCTCCTCCTCCTCCTCCTCCCAGCACTGCTGATGTTACCTAGTTAGGTCATGAAACATCTGCAAGAAAACAAAGAGAGTCCAAGGATCCCACAGTGGTGATGTTGTTTCCAATGGCTGTTGTTGTTGTTGTTATTGTTATTGTTCTTCTTCTTCTCCTCCTCCTCCTCGCACTGATCATGTTACCTAGTTGGGTCATGAAACGTCTGCAAGAACAACCCCCAAGCTCAGAGAGCACCAAGGACTCCCCCACGCACATCTCCTCTCATTTCAGAAGCGTCTTCCTTAGAGTCTATACCGCTCTCAGCCCCCCCAACCACCCCCCCCCCAACCCGGGCGGGGTAGCTCATGCAGACGGTTGGGGCGCTGGACGGCGCCTCGGATTCAGACCAGAGCCCGGAATGCTTACAAGCGCGCCGGCCCAATATGGAGTCTCCCGGAGCAGCAGGGAAGGGCTGAACTCGGCCATCAGGAAGGCCAGGACCGTGATCGAGACTCCCAGGACCAGCTGCAGCAACGCCACCAACAACGGGAACCGGCAACCGCAGCACGTGTGAACGTCCTCTTCCTTGCCCGCTTTGGCATCGCCCGGACGGCTCTTCTGCTCCAGGGGGGCCGCGGTCTCCTTGCCAGGGGCGCCGCTTGGCTCTTTTCCAGGGGGGCTCGGAGCTGGCTTCGCTTTGGACCTCATTCTGACGACCTCCGGGCCACGACCACACCCTGAGCCCGAGTTGAGAGTCCGCGATCGCCCCGGGCAGCCTCCGTCCGCCTGCTCCGCTTTGAACAAATATGGGAAATCTTTGGAGGGGCCGTCGCAGTTTCCGAACACCACATATAGACCGTGCGGGAAGGGGGGAGTCGAGGGGGTAGCGGACGGACGGCTATCCGGGCTGGGGCGTTGCTCAGCGAGATGTTCTGGAGCCAGGAAGGCTGTGCACGTGAGAACGCGCGTTACGGGGCTGGCTCCCATCGCCATTCCCCCCCCCCACCGTTCCCCTCCTCCCCGGACTGGGCATTTGCCCTCCCGGGAAAACGCCAACCCTGTTTCCCCCCACACACACACACACGTTAGCGAGAAGAGACTGACTCGGGACTTCCTCGGACCATTCCAGCGAAGGAGCCACACGTTGAAAAGTATTTCACGTGTTTGCTTTTGGCGCTCGGAAGGCCAAGGAGGAAGGAGGTGGAAATCGGAAACCGAAATCGGAAATTTCGAAGGAGGCGGGGGGGGGAGGTCCATGGAGGGGGAAAATATCCTTTGGGATATTAAGATGCAGAGAAGGTGGGAACTTTTTTTTTTTTAATTGAAAATTTTTTAAAATTTTACAAAAAAGAAAAACAACCCTACCCAACCCACCCCAACCCTCCCCTCCCTCGACCTTCCCAGAGCTGAATATAGGCTTAATTAAAATTTCTTAAGTTTCTTAAAATCTTAAAAAGAAGAATATAAACCATAAATAAATCTAAATACAATACTTATACAACTTATAAAATAATTAACAATAATGTATATATGTAAAAAGCATAACTATTAGAAGAAAAAAGAAAAAAAATGCTTAGAAAAAAAGAATAAAAAAGAAAAAAGAGGAAAAGAAATATAAAAAAATAGAGATAAAAGATATAAGGAGCAAGAGAAAAAAAGAAAAAAAAAGAAAAAAGAAAAATACAATCTATAAAATATAAAATTTATATATAAGTTATTGAAATACTAAATAATATTTTTTTATATCCAACCTGTGTTGTACAAAATCTATCCATTTTTCCCATACCGCAAAGAAGTTCTCTTGCGATTGATCCTTTAAAAAAGCCGAAATCTTTGCCATTTCCGCCAAATAAGAAACTTTAGAAAACCACTCTTGCAAAGTAGAAGAAGGTGGGAACTTTTAAAAAGGGCGTTTATTTAGGGCGGCTTTTGTATTGTTATAAAATCATCTGATGGATCAAGGTAAACACACAAAATAGTAGTAGTAGTAGTAGTAGTAGTAGTAGTAGTAGTAGTAGTGGGTGCCTTGGGTGCAATCCCAAAACAAATGGAGCACCACTTGAACACCATTGGCACTGACAAATTCGCTATTAGTCAATTGCAAAAGGTGGCCTTACTAGGAACTGCTTCCATCCTGCCACGATATCTCTAATACCATCAAACATCCACATCTGCCTATCCCAGGTCCTGGGTAAGGACTCGATAGGTAGACAAAATGCCAAATCCAGTCTGAACATCTGGCTGACTGTGTGATGATCCATAATAATAATAATGATAATAATATAATAAAGTTGGAAGGGACCTTGGAGGTCATCTAGTCCAACCCCCTGCTCAGGCAGGAAACCCTACACCATTTCGGACAAATGGCTGTCCAGTCTCTTCTTCAAAACTTCCAGTGTTGGAGCATTCACCACTTCTGGAGGCAGGTTGTTCCACTGGTTAATTTTTCTCACTGTCAGGAAGTTTCTCCTTAACTACATCTATTATTCTTAGTTAAATACATGTACCCAGATAATATGCTGTTTGCTAAATATTGAAAATGTTACCTGGGAAAACCCCAACCCCCAACTCTAACCCCAACTCTGACCCAAACCCCAATCCTAATCCCGACCCCATTTTATCCCTAACCCTATTAAATATATATATATATATATATATATATATATATATATATATATATATATATATTTCTAAAATTTGGATATACATTTTAGAAATGTATATGATGTCACAGTTGTGACTGCTGCCTGTGGATGGCTCTAGTTTAAGCTGATACAAGGCAAAAGATTTCTCTCTCCCATATTTGGGCAACAGGGTGTAACATACAGCATTCTATATATATATATATATCATGTATGTATGTATGTACGTATGTATGTATGTATATATAAAAGCACGGCATCTGATGCTTTCCTGGGATAAGGACCCTTCCTTGTGGGCCTTACCCTCAAGCTGAGCCATAAGATTTCACCAGGCTGCATAATGCTACTTAAAAAAGATTTTTTTAAAAAATAAACCTAAGTGCTGTTATGTAAGGATGTGTCATAATGCGGCGGTATCCTCAGAATTGTGGCTAGATACCGGGATTGAATTATAATTGTGAGCATCGTCAAGCAATCGCAGGAATAAAATTCTAGATTCATGGAGAAAGGGGGAAACTCTGCAGAGATGGGAAAGGTACAGGTAGTTTTCAGCTTACAGCGGTTCGCTTAGTGACCGTTCAAAGTTACAATGGAACTGAAAAAAGTGACTTATGACCATTCCCCCCCCTTACGACCATTGCAGCATCCCCAGGGTCACGTGATCAAAATTCATATCCGTGGCAACTGACTCGTGACGGTCGCCGTGTCCTGGAGTCACGTGATCCCGTTTTGTGACCTTTTGACAAAGTCAGTGGATTCACTTAACATCCGTATTGCTAACTTAACAATTTCAGTGATTCACTTAGCAACTCAGATCGTCCTTGTTGTTTTTTTCCAAAGAGAACATGGGTCTTACCACCTCGGTTCCCAAACCTATCTCCCCCAACGTGGTTAGCAACACACGTAGCGGGTCATGGTAGGTCATATATCGCTGCATGTGTGCATGTATGCATGACTATCAGTTGCAGATTTTGAAAGGAGTAAACTGTTCCGATGGCTCCTGACTTTCCAGAGAGTTCTAGTTCTATGCAGGCTCCAGAGGGGTGGATCCTCCAAGCCAACCCCTTCCCATTTGCCCCAGCGTAGGTAGATCTCAGAAACAGGGGGAAAAAGAGCCCAGTGTCCTTAAATAACAGATCCTGGCCTGCCTCTGAGCATGTCCAGAATTCCCGGGCCATTCTGTGCAAAAGAGTTCTGGGATAATAGAAAAGCACAGGGGAAAGGAAGGAAGAATAATAAGGAAGAATAATAATAATAAAGTTGGAAGGGACCTTGGAGGTCATCAAGTCCAACCCCCTGCTCAGGCAGGAAACCCTACACCATTTCAGACAAATGGCTGTCCAGTCTCTTCTTAAAAACTTCCAGTGCTGGAGCGTTCACCGCTTCTGGAGGCAGGTTGGTTCCACTGGTTAATTGTTCTCACTGTCAGGAAGTTTCTCCTTAGTTCTAGGTTGCTTCTCTCCTTGATGAGTTTCCATCCGTTCCTTCTTGTCCTGCCTTCAGGCACTTTGGAGAATAGCTTGACTCCCTCTTCTTTGGGGCAGCCCCTGAGATACTGGAACACTGCTATCCTGTCTCCCCTCGTCCTTCTCTTCATTAAACTAGACATACCCAATTCCAGCAACCGTTCCTTGTATGTTTTAGGCATTGTAAAGTGGTATTAAGACACCCCCCCTTTCCTCTCTCCGACATCCTTCTGTTCTAGCTCTGGGCTTTCCATGGAGCCTACTCTCTAGCCCAGTGTTTCCCAAACTTGACAATTGTAAGGCATGTGGACTTCAACTCCCAGAATTCCACAGCCAGCGTTGCTGGCTGTGGAATTCTGGGAGTTGAAGTCCTCATGCCTTAAAATTGTCAAGTTTGGGAAACACTGCTCTAGCCCATCCTCCCCCGCCGCTCCCTTTCTCCTCCCCTGCTCCTCACTGCTTGGTTTGGCTGGGGGAAGAGGCGGGTGGCGCTTGGCTGGCCTGGCCTGGCCCGATTCCCGGGTCTGTCACCAAGAACGTCCTTTGCAGCCAGCGGTCGCCTCCACGCGCGCAGTCACTAAGCTCCCGGCGGCGGTGGCAGCACGGGACACCTCACGTTGCCGGCCTTGTGCTGGTACCAGCTTGAGACAGATTAAGGAGGAGGGATTCCGCTACCCGCCTTCCTTCTTTCTTTCTTTCTTTCTTTCTTTCTTTCTTTCTTTCTTTCTTTCTTTCTTTCTTTCTTTCTTTCTTTCTTTCTTTCTTTCTTTCCTTCCTTCCTTCCTTCCTTCCTTCCTTCCTTCCTTTCTCTCTCTCTCTCCTTCCTTCCTTCCTTCCTTCTTTAAGGGGCCAGCTGGAGGAAGAGAGGACTTCGCCCGCCCCAGCCACCTTCAGGGGTGCAAGGCGCACGGGGGTGGGTGGGTGGGGGGTGCGCGCCTGGATGGGCAACTCCCGCCACCTCCCCTTGCCAGGACACCTTGCCTGACCTCCCTACGGTCCGCTTAAGTCACCCTTTGGAAGGCAGCAGGGGAAGAGCACCCGGCCCAACTTGGCAAGGCAATTGCAGACCTACCCACTCACCCACCCCGACCACCAATTCATGTAAGCGCCCGCGAGTTTGGCCGGCCCGCGAGGTTACAGACCGGTTGATCTGTGTGTGTGTGTGTGTGTGTGTGTGTGTGTGTATGTGTGTGTGTGTGTGTGCCCCCCTCCCAAGGGAAGCCAGTCTGGGACAACTGGGGGGTGGGGGAGTGGGGGGGCCGGGGGAGCATGGTCTGGGCTGCCTGAAATGAGAAGGGGCGCCGGGGGCTGGGAGGGAGGGAGGCTGGTAAGGCAATTAAGCCCTTTTGCAATAAACGCGCTCTACGCGCACTCTCCAAACAGCCAGCCAGCCGCGTTGGCTCTCTTGGTCCGGGGGAGCGGGGGGGGGGGCTCGCGGCAGAGGGGAGCCCCTGCATTGCAGGCTTAACCGCAGGGGGGGGGAATCCCCACTCACTCCACGGGGATTTCCTTCCCCTTCGTGGGGGTTTGCCCGGACCCTGCGCCTTTCCCTTCCGTACCTGGAGAGGTCTCCAAGCAAAGCGCAAAAAGAGCCAGCCAGCCAGACGCCCACCCGCCCGGGCGCGATCTCTCCTCCCCGTTTGATCCAGACCGCTGTCCCGAGTGGGACTGCCCAAGCCTGCAGCCCCGTGGGCGGGCAGAAGTCCCACGCCACCGGGCTGAAGTCCGAGAAAGTCCACTAGGTTCACGGGCTTTCCTTGGCTAGCTGGAAGGAGCAGCGCTTGGCGAGGGCGCCCGGGGACCCCGTGCCTTCCCCTCCCCTGCGCCGTCTCGGGGGGTGGGGGAGGAGGAGGAGGTGATAGGCTGGCCAACTTGTCATCGTTCCCCCTACGTCCCCCCCCTCCGCCCGTCCCGGTCGCCTGGCCAGCTGTCCCCGCCTTCCGGCGTCCCTGCCTTCCCCGCCCCCCCCCCCAGCCTCGAGTTTGCAGGGTACGTTCCGCACGTGAGCCGGCTGCTGGGCTGGCTGGCAACGCGTGTGCCCTGCGGGCGAGCGCCTGAGCAGAGCTAGGCGCCCGACCCGTCCGGGGGCGTCGCGGCGGCAAGAGACAGGCAGAGAAAAAGAGAGAAAAAGAGAGGGGGAGAAAGAGGGAGGAGAGGGAGAGAGGGAGAGAGAGAGGGAGAGGGGGGAAGAGACAGGCAGAGAAAAAGAGAGGGAGAGAAAGAGGGAGAGAGAGAGGGAGAGAGGGAGGGGGAAGAGAGGCAGGAAAAAAAAAGAGAGAGGGGGAGAGAGGGGGGAAGAGACAGGCAGAGAAAAAGAGAGGGAGAGAAAGAGGGAGAGAGAGAGGGAGGGAGAAAGAGAGAGAAGCAGAGGGAGAGAGGAGGAGAGAGGGGGTAAGAGACAGGCAGAGAAAAAGAGAAAAAGAGGGAGAGAGGGGGGGAGAGAGGCAGAGAAAAAGAGAGAAAAAGAGAGGGAGAGAAAGAGGGGAAGAGAGGCAGAGAAAAAGAGGGAGAGAAAGGGAGAGGGAGAGGGAGAGGGAGAGAGAGAGGGGGGAGGGGGGAAGAGACAGGCAGAGAAAAAGAGAGGGAGAGAGAGGGGGAGGGAGAGGGGAGAGAGGGGGGGAAGAGAGGCAGAGAAAAAGAGAGGGAGAGAAAGAGGGAGAGGGAGAGAGAGGGGGAGGGAGAGGGGAGAGAGAGGGGGGGGGGAGAGGGGGGAAGAGAGGCAGAGAAAAAGAGAGGGAGAGAAAGAGAGGGAGAGGGAGAGAGAGGGGAAGAGGTAGGCAGAGAAAAAGAGAGAGAGAGAGAGAGAGGAGAGAGAGAGAGGCAGGCGACCTTCCGGCTTTCACCAACGCTCCCTCCCCCGCCCCCAAACGCTCGGAGAAGCCTCCAGGCGGCCCGGATCGCCCGAGCAGCGTCCCCGGCTTCCGCAAACTACTTCGGCTGCCCGAAGGGAGGGGAGCAGGAGACCACCTGGGCCGGCATGGATGAAGACCCCCCTCCGTTGCAAGAAAGGCCGGTTTTAGAGCAGCGTGGGGACCTCAGAGGGTGAGGCTCCGGGCGGGCCGAGGGGGGGTGGGTGGGAGGAGTCCTTGGTGCTCTCTGAGATTGATTGTTTTCTTGCAGACGTTTCATTACCCAAACTAGGTAACACCATCAATACTACAAGGGAGAAGGGCTTGCGGAGAGGAGGTAAAGAGGAGGACTGTGGGGTCCTTGGTGGTGCTCCCTGAGCTTGGCTCTTTTCTTGCAGATTTCATTACCCAACTTGGTTACATCATCCGTGCTAGAAGGGAGTGGGAGTTTGCAGGGAGGAGGCGGGGTAGGAGGGCGCTACGGTAATAATGTAGAGGGACCCCCCCCCCCAGCATTTCATCTGGTTGTTTTTTTTTAAGCTGATCTGCCTGCGCGTGGGTGAGCGTGTGTGGGCGCACGTGCCCGCGCGTGCCTTCCAGTTCCTCCTGCGCGAGAGGGATTTTGGCTGCGTACCTCCTTCGCCTTCGGGCGTCCTCGGGAAGCGCACGTGTCCCGCTGCCGCGGGGGGGGGGCGTGGGTGGGTGGGTGGGAGAGGACTGCTTCGCCCGAGCCCGGAGCTCTCTTTTCCTATTTTTCCCCCCTTCCTAACCTACTTACCTACCTACCTTCCTTCCTTCCTTCCTTCCTTCTGCAGGCTGGATTATTCTCCCTTGCACAGGTGCCGATCCAGGAGGAGCATGAAGCGGGACGAGAGCAAGGTAAGACCCAGGTTTTTCCAGCTTCTTGGCAACCTCTTTCCCTCCAGCAACTTCGGTTACCCCCCCACCCCCCCAAAAAACCTGGGGTGATTCGTTCAGGCTTTTTTGGGGGGATGGGTGGGTGGGTGAGTTTTGATTTATCTCTCCCAATGATTAAGGTGGGCATCTGCAAAAGTTGGGTCACCTTTTCTTTCCCTTCTGCTTAGGAAACCTACAAACTGCCCCACCGGCTGATAGAGAAGAAGAGACGAGACCGGATCAACGAGTGCATCGCTCAGTTGAAGGATTTGCTCCCAGAACATCTCAAATTGACAGTGAGTTTAATAATAATAATAATAATAATAATAATAATAATAATAATAATAAGAAGAAGAAGAAGAAGAAGAAGAAGAAGAAGAAGAAGAAGAAGAAGAAGAAGAAGAAGAAGAAGTTGGAAGGGACCTTGCAAAAATATTGTTCCTGATCAGCAATGGGATGTGTGTGTGTGTGTGTGTGTGTGTGTGTGTGTGTGTGTGTGTGTTTTGCTGTGTCTTGAGAGCAGCCTTGCAGCTAGAATGTGGTTTGTTTTCATTTTTGTTTTCCTAAAAAGAAGAAGCAGGATGAATGTGTAAGAATCATACTGTACCTTCTATGCTTGGAATTAAAATATAGGGAGAACAGTTTACTTAGTGACTGTAATAATAATAATAATAATAATAATAATAATAATAATAATAATAATAAGCTCCTTGGGTGCAATCCCAAAACAACTGGAGCACCACTTGAACACCATTGGCATTGACAAATTCGCTATTAGTCAATTGCAAAAAGCGGCCTTACTAGGAACTGCTTCCATCCTGCGACGATATCTGTAATACCATCAAACATCCACCTCTGCCTATCCAGGTCCTGGGTAAGGACTCGATAGGTAGACAAAATGCCAAATCCAGTCTGAACATCTGGCTGACTGTGCGATGAACGATAAAATAATAATAATAATAATAATAATAATAATAATAATAATAATAATAATAATATAATATTTACAAAATACATCAAGAAACTGCAGCTTTCTGCAATAACTCCAGCAATGTTACAAAAAACTACGCTACTCGGAACATCTTATATTTTAAGGAGGTACCTGGTTGACACCTAGGATGCTGACCGCAACCTGTGTCAACCATCAGCCCCAGCCAACTTGAATGTTCAGTTGATTGAGGTTTATGTCTAATTAATAATAATAATAATAATAATAATGATAATAATAATGTTGGGAGGGACCTTGGAGGTCATCTAGTCCAACCACCTGCTCAGGCAGGAAACCTTATACCATTTCTGACAAATGGCTGTCCAGTCTCTTCTTAAAAACTTCCAGTGTTGGAGCATTTACTGCTTCTGGAGGCAGGCTGTTCCACTGGTTAATTGTTCTAACTGTCAGGAAGTTTCTCCTTAGTTCTAGGTTGCTTCTCTCCTTGATGAGTTTCCACCTGTTGCTTCTTGTCCTGCCTTCAGGCGATTTGGAGAATAGCTTGACTGCCTCTTCTTTGGGGCAGCCCTTTCTTCCTCTCTGCCCCTAACCGAATCCCGGATTAATACGTTTTTTTCCTTGCCTGATTTCTTAAGAGAATCTTTCACACTCCAAGACAATTATGTAGGACCCACTTTCCTTGAATACAGTCATCTAGTAGTTGTGATAATGGGGGGCAAATACAGGTAAGCCCTTGACTTACGGCCACAATTCAACTCAAAATTTCTGTGGCTAAGGGAGACATTGCTTAGGTGAGCTTTGCTCCCTTTTACCACCTTGCTTGCTACGGTTGTTAAGTGGATCATGAGGGGGGATACGATAGCCGTGTTCCCGTATCTCAGGGGCTGCCCCAAAGAAGAGGCAGTCAAGCTGTTCTCCAAAGCACCTGAAGGCAGGACAAGAAGCAACGGATGGAAACTGATCAAGGAGAGAAGCAACGTAGAACTAAGGAGGAATTTCCTGACAGTGAGAACAATTAACCAGTGGAACAACCTTCCTCCAGAAGCGGTGAATGCTCCAACACTGGAAGTTTTTAAGAAGAGACTGGACAGCCATTTGTCTGAAATGGTATGTGGTTTCCTGCCTGAGCAGGGGGTTGGACTAGATGACCTCCCTTCCAACTTTGTAGAGGGCTTTGTAGAAAGGAGGAGGAGAACTGGGGGGTCTTGGGTGCTCTCTGCACTTGGTAGTTTTCTTGCAGATGTTTCATTACTAAACTAGGTAACATCATCAGTGCACTGCACAAAAACAACCAAACTCAGAGATCACAGACCCCACATTCCTCCTCCTCCTCCTCCTCCTCCTCCTTCTCCTCTTAGCACTGATGATGTTACCTAGTTGGGTCATGAAACGTCTGCAAGAAAACAAAGCTCAGAGAGCACCAAGGATCCCACAGTGTTGTTTTCTTCTTCTTCTTCTTCTTCTTCTTCTTCTTCTTCTTCTTCTTCTTCTTCTTCTTCTTCTTCTTCTTCTTCTTCTTCTTCTTCTTCTTCTTCTTCTTCTTCTTCTTCTTCTTCTGCTTCTTCTTCTTCTTCTTCTTCTTCTTCTTCTTCTCCTCCTCCTCCTCCTCCTCCTCCTCCTCCTCCTCCTCCTCCTCCTCCTTCTTCTTCTTCTTCTTTCCTCCTCCCTCTCCTCCTCCCCCTCGTCCTCCTCCTCCTCCTAGCACTGATGATGTTACCTAGTTGGGTCATGAAATGTCTGCAAGAACAACCCCCAAGCTTAGAGAGCAACAAGGATCCACACACATACATCTCCTCTCAGGGGCTGTCAGGGCTCAGCAGAAGTGCCAGGATCAGCACTTCTTTGGGACTGTCAGGGCTCAGTGGAAGTGCCAGGATCACCGTCTGGCTCCAGCTGGAGCTTGGCGCTGATCCTGGCGCTTCTGCTGAGCCCAGAAGAAGCGCCCATCAGCTGGAATGTTGCAGTATCTCCAGGATCTTGTGATTTACATTCAGATGCTTGGCAACTGATTCATATTTATGACGGTCACAGTGTCCCAGGGTCATGTGAAGTGACCAAAACCTGCTGCAACCACCCAGCAGACAGAGGGGGGGAATAAAAACCAACCCCCCCCACCCCACCCTCACTGCCAATCCTCAACAGAAATGCTCACAACAATGAAAACCTCAGACAGGAGGAAGAGCGTGGCTGGGCAGGCAGGCAGGTGTCTTGCTTGGCTGTAACTTGGGGGGCCCTTTTTTCAGTGCCATTGTAACTTCGAACAGTCACTAAGTGAATTGTTGTAAGTCAAGGACTACCTGTACTTTATCACTTTTTTCCTTTTTTTTTTTTTTGTCAAGTTTTTGACACCTTGCTAGGCATGTTGCCATATCCTAAAAGTGGCACAATGGGTGAAAAGGTTGAAAAGCCCTGCCCTAAGCCATCCCAAGAATGTAGTAGACGCTTTTTATCCCGCAGTCCTCTTGTAGGCACACAGAGGTCCCTGTAGATCCCTTTAAAATTGGGTACGTCATCACAAACCCCAAATGGGAGAGGATCCCTTTCAAACGGATTCTAACGAACTTTGGAAAACTGGGTAGAAAATTACACGCTGGTGTGAACACAGACGTCTCTTTTCCTTTCCAGACATTGGGGCATCTGGAGAAAGCCGTAGTTCTGGAATTAACCTTGAAACACGTCAAAACTTTGACTACCTTAACGGAACAGCTGCATCAGAAAATCATTGCTCTACAGAATGGTAAGGAAGAGGTTCAGCCCTGAAACAGCATAAAAGGAAGCTCTAAATGAAAAAGGAAGAAAGAGAGGGGGGGGGGGAGAAAGAGAAAGGAAGAAAAGAAAGAAAGAAAAGAAAAAGAAAGGAAGGAAGGAAAGAAAGAGAAAGAAAAGAAAGAAAGCGAAAGAAAGAAAGAAAGGGAAAGAAAGAGAGAAAGAAAGGAAGAAAGAAAGAGAAAGGAAGGAAGGAAGAAAAAGAAAGAAAGAAAGAAAAAGAAAGAGAAAGGAGAAAGAAAGAAAGAGGAAGAAAGGAAGAAAAAGAAAGAAAGAAAAAGAAAGAAAGGAGAAAGAAAGAAAAGAAAGAGAAAGAAAGAAAGAAAGAGAAAGGAAGAAAGAAAGATAGGAAGGAAGGAGGAAAGAAAGAGAGAAAGAGAAAAAAAAGAAAGTGAAAGAAAGAAAGGAAAGAAAGAGAAAGGAAGGAAGGGAGAAAGAAAAGGAAAGAAAGAAAGAAAGAAAAGAAAGAAAGAAAGGAGAAAGAGAAAGAGAAAAGAAAGAGAAAGAAATAAAAAGAAGAGAGAAAGAAAGAAAGAGAAGAAAGAGAAAGGAAGGAAGAAAGAAAGAAAGAAAGAAAGAAAGGAAAGAAAGAAAGAAAGAAAGAAAGAAAGAAAGAAAGAAAGAAAGGGAGGATTGCTCCACAATTGCTCCTGTCTAAGCTTACTTGAAAGTAAATCCTATTTAGTGGAGGGTTTTAAACTTTTTTTTCCCCTTTCACGTCCATCTTGACTCCTGGGGAATGCCTGAACTAGATCTTGCAGAGGTTTTTTGGGGGGGGGGAGGCAGATTTTTCAGGAGTGGTTTGCCCTTGCCTTCTTCTTCCTAGGGGGGAGGAACTGCCCAAGGTCATCTAGTCGGCTTCGTGCCAAAGGGAGGACTAGAACTCAGGGTCTCCCACTTTCTAGTCCGGTGTCTTTAGTCCTCAACCCCAAAGTTTTTGCTCCAGTTAAATGAATTAAAAATGGGAGCTTTGATGAGTTACCTGTTGGAATACTGGTTGCCCCACAAAGGGCCTGTTTTCTCCCCTAACTGCTGAGAAGGTTGAATCAGAAGGTTTTGTTCTTTTCATATTTTTCTTTTTTTAAGTAGAAAATGTGGAGATTTGATTAACCCAGCAGTCAAATTCTGCCTCGTTCAGGGATGAAATGAGGAGATCCTTGGTGTTCTTTGAGCTTGGTGGTTTCCTGGCCGACGTTTCATTACCCAACTAGGGAACATCATCAGTGCCAGAAGGGAGTGGGGGTTGCAGAGAGGAGGAGGAGGAGGTGGTGGTGGTGGTGGTGGTCCTTGGTGTTCTCTGAGCTTGGTGGTTTTCTTGCAGATGTTTCATTATCCCTGATGATGCTAACTAGTTTGGGTAATGAAACATCTGCAAGAAAACCACCAAGCTCAGAGAACACCAAGGACCACCACCACCACCACCTCCTCCTCCACCACCACCACCTCCTCCTCCTCCTCCTCTTCTTCTTCTTCTCCTCCTCCTCCTCCTCCTCCTCCTCCTCCTCCTCCTCCTCCTCCTCCTCCTCCTCCTCCCTGCTAACCCCACTCCCTTCTGGCACTGATGATGTTCCCTAGCTGGGTCATGAAACGTCTGCAAGCTCAGAGACCACCAAAGACCCCTCTGCTTCATTCCTGGTCCACTGGCTCTGGACGCAGAGATACCACTGGTGATGTGAGCGTCTTCCTACCTGTTTGCCGTCTTCTCGTGCTTCTTGCAGGAGACAGATCCCTGAAGTCTCCTCCACAGTCCGACCTGGATGCTTTCCATTCCGGATTCCAAACGTGCACCAAAGAAGTCTTGCACTACCTCTCCCGATCGGAAAGCTGGACCAGCCAGGAGCAACATGGCGTCCAGCTGCTCGGTCACTTGCACTCCGTTTGCACTCGCTTCCTGCCCGACTCTCCCCACTTGATCCAAAAGCTTTGCGGGGCCAAAGGACGGTGGTCTCCCCAGAAGGAACAACAGCAGCAGAAGTGTCCTGGAGGGACCCCGAAGCAGGAGACCCAGCCCCACTGCGTACCGGTCATCCAGAGGACTCAAAACTGGAGTAGGGGCGCTGCCACCCCCCACCTGCCCCCCAGCGGCACGGAGCAGGCCGGGGAGCACGACACAGACACGGACAGTGGCTACGGCGGCGAGTACGAGGGGAAGACCACACGGGGTGGCTTCGTGGTCAAGCAGGAGCCCGCCGGCGAAGTGGAAGAAGCTCCTGAGGGAGTCAAAAGACGCAGGCTGGAGAACGGCAGCCCCCCCGCAGCGATGGTGCAGGGGGCTGGGGTTGGGGGGAGGGCAGACCCTGTGCTTCTCAACCCCCTGATGGCTTTGGGCGTGGGGGCCAGTTGTGGGCTAGGAGGGTCTCTCTTGGGCCAGGCCCCCACCGCTCCCTTCTGCTTGCCTTTCTACTTCCTTGCCCCGTCGGTGGCCGCGGCCTACATGCAGCCCTTCCTGGAGAAGATCAGCCCGGAGAAATCGCTCTACCCCGCTGGGGGGGCTGCCGGCCCCTTCCCCTTCATTTATCCTGGGATTTCTGTTCAAGGAGCTGCTGCTGCTTTTCCTTCCCTTGTCGTGGCCGCACCGGCAGCAACGTTGGCCCCCTCGGCTGAGAAAGGCAGCTCACCTTTGGGGACAGCCCCCTCCTTTCCCACGGGGGTAGCCCCTGATTCACAGCCCCTGCCCCCCCTTTTCCCCTGCAAGCCGGCTGAGCTAAACACAGACCCGGATCGTTGCCCTTCTCCAAAGTCTGATCTTCAGCCCGGCCGGGACCGGCCCTTGCAAGCAAATGCTATGCTGTCCAGCATTTAATCCCCAGGGAAGTCTCCATGGGGGGTTTTTTTGCGGGGGGGGGTTCCCACTGTGGGAAGAGAAGTCTAGATTGACCATTGATTGTCTCTAGTTTTTTTTTTTTTTTTAAAAGAGAGAGAAAACAAACGGCTCCCATCTGTGTCTCCTGCTTTGCAGAGGTCGCTTGGGGCAAAAAAACCCACAACCTTTGGAAAGCTTTTCCTTTCCCTATGCCGCTAGTCCTCGTTTAGTGACTGTTCAAAGTTCCAACGGCATTGAAAAAAGCCATGGAGGACTGTTTCCCCCCTCTTATGACCGTTGCAGCCTCCCCGTGGTCACGTGATCAAAATTCAGACGCTTGGCAACTGACTCGTATTGACGATGGTTGCAGTGTCCTGGTCTCATGTGATTCCCCCCCCCCTTTTGCAATCTTCTGACAAGCCATGGACAAGCCAGATTCACTTAACAACGGTGTGACTTAACTGCAGGGGTTCACAAAACCACTGTGGCAAGAGAGATGACAAAATGGGGGCAACGCTTACCTAACAAGCAGACTCGCTTAACGGTTGTTAAGGGGAGAAGTCTAAGCCAGGGCTTTTCAACCAGTAGTATGGGTACCACCTATGGTACATTGGCACCTGGCAGGTGGTACGCGACCATCCTAGAAAAGTGGTAGCAGGGGAGGGGAATGAGCTGAACCGGTGGCAGCACCGCACAAGCCTGAGCGAGAGATGGCTGGAGCTGCAGGGCTGTCAGGGCTCAGCGGAAGCGCCAGGATCAGTGCTGCTTTCCAGCTGATTGGCGCTTCGGGGCTGTCAGGGCTCAGTGAAAGCGCCAGGATCAGCGCCAGGCTCCAGCTGGAGCTCGGTGCTGATCCTGGTGCTTCTGCTGAGCCCAGAAGAAGCGCCGATCAGCTGAAATGTTGCAGCATCTCCAGGGTCTTGTGATTTACATTCAGATACTTGGCAACTGATTCATATTTATCACGGTCACAGTGTCCCAGGGTCATGTGAAGTGACCAAAACCTGCTGCAACCATCCAGCAGACTGGTGGAATAAAAACCAAACAACCCCCCCCCCGCTGCCAATCCTCAACAGAAATGCCTCACAACAATGAAAACCTCGGACAGGAGGAAGAGCGTGGCCGGGCGGGCAGGCAGGTGTCTTGCTCGGCTGTAACTTGGGGGGCACTTTTTTCAGTGCCATTATAACTTTGAACAGTCACTAAGTGAATTGTTGTAATTCAAGGACTACCTGTACTTTATCACTTTTTTCCCTTTTTTGGTCATCATGTTTTTGACACCTTGCTAAGCGGCTGGTGGTACTCGGATGTTGCCATATCCTAAAAGTGGCACAATGGGTGAAAAGGTTGAAAAGCCCTGCCCTAAGCCTCATTCTGCTTACCAAGAGAAATGTTGGGCCCAATTGTGGTTATAAGTTGAGGACTGCCTGCATTTAGGAGAAGTCATTAATTTCAGTGGAACTGACTTCAGAGTAGGCCTGGTGAGAAAGAAAGCATCTTCGTGGACTCCAATCTTTTGAGATTCGAGAAGCTGGCCTAGCTTCCTGGGAATTTGTGATACCTTATTAGGAATGCTCTCGCTGTGTCTCATTCTCTTGTCCTGGATTCAGTGGTGTGTTTTGTTGGACCTGTTTGAAGAACGGCAGGCCTAGAATTAGGTGGATTAACTCTATGCAGTACCTAGACCAGGGGTAGACAACCTCAGCTCTTTTATGACTTGTGGACTTCAACTCCCAGAATTCCTGAGCCAACCACGCTGAGGGGAAAGGGGGAGGTTTCCAAGCTGAGCCATGCTGTCTCAGGAATTCTGGGAGTTGAAGTCCATGAGTCAAAAAAGAGCCGAGGTTGCCTACCCCTGCCCTAGGCCGCGTTATGACTCGTGGACTTCAACTCCCAGAATTCCTGAGCCAGCCACGCTGAGGGGAAAGGGAGAGGTTTCCAAGCTGAGCCCTGCTGGCTCAGGAATTCTGGGAGTTGAAGTTCACCAGTCATAAAAGAGCCGAGGTTGCCTACCCCTGACCTTGTCGAGTGCCAGCCCACCAAACCTAACCGCGTCTGAACTGCCCTGAAACCAGGGCAACTGTAATAGTAGTTCCCAAATGTATTTTTCTTTTTTTTCCTCAAAAAGCAACTGGGCTTTGTTTTTCCTTGAAAGCGTTTCGCTTCTCATCCAAGAAGCTTCTTCAGTTCTGACGGAATGATGAAGGATTTACATTCTTTGCAGTCATCTGTTCATTAGTACTCTTTCTGAGAGGTGTTTAGGCCTCTTGGGGATTTATCTGTGCCCTCAGAGTCACCTGAATAGCGCAAATGTGTGTGGAACTGCTAAAAGGACTATGTTGTAAACAGGAGATGAGAGAGGGCTGTTCATTTAAATGTAGTCTCTTTGATCCCTCTTTCAAACCGGAGGTCCTCTCTGTCCAAAATGTGGACTTTTCTGTCTTCGAAAGAGCGGCCTTTGTCTTTCAAATGCAAATGGGCCGCTGAACTTTGTCCTGATGGCTTTGTTCTCCTGCGTTGTGCCACGCGTTTGTGGTGAAGTGGTTGTTTTGTTTCTCCAACATACAGATCTGTACATATTTCATTCGGAAAGCATACTAACAACCAGATGGCTGCACGGCATATCAGTCCTTCCATTCTCCACCATTCAGTCAGAACTGAAGAGGCTTCATGGATGAGAAGTGAAACATCCTGAAGGAAAAACAAAGCTAAGTTGCCTTTTGAGGAAAAAGAAGGAAGGAATGAAGGAAGGAAGGAAGGAAGAAAGAAAGAAAGAAAGAAAGAAAGAAGAAAAGAAAGAAAAAGGAAGGAAGGAAGAAAGGAAGGAAGGAAGGAAGGAAGGAAGGAAGGAAGGAAGGAAGGAAGGAAGGAAGGAAGGAAGGAAGGAAGGAAGGAAGGAAGGAAGGAAGGATGGATCTTTGGGACAACCATGACCTGGATGACTGAGAATCTCCATAGACATGAATTGGGACATGTGAATGACCTTGGGATACGAAGCAAAGAGGGACTGATCCAATAAAAGATAACTGAGCCCACACTTATATAATAGTCAGGGAAAGAGAGTCAGCAAGGAGCTTTCCTAGTTTCTTAGGCTGTAAAGGAGATTATGGAAGATTTGTGCTTGCATACTTGCTGGATTGCTAGTTAGGGTAGCCTTGCAATAAAGCAGAATTAGCTCATCTGGTTGCGTTTCCTGTTTGCTCCTCCTGGTAAGGCTGACAGGAACCAACATTTGGTCCTGATGCAAATTGTTGACTTGAAGCTTCAGCATCATTTCTTACACAGGTGTCATGGTTCCGAAAGAAGAAGGTCTTCAAAGAACTTTGAGGCTAGTAAGTGTGAGCAGATTTGCATGTTAGTAGAGAACAGGAAGAGAGTGGAGGATCCAAGAAGGCGAAGCCATTAACTCGTACGCTAGCACTTTATTGAGGTGCAGGCCATAAATTGTTCAAACTTGGTTTTGCTTTTGGCAAACCTAAGAGTGTGAGGTCAAAAAAGTCAAAATGGCTCCTGTGACTATTGAAACCCTTCCACCCAGCCCGTTCCTGCTTTGTCATTATAGATTTAAGCCAGGTAAGAATTCTGTGTGTTGGTGTGCGAGGGCATGCATTTACATACATACACACTAAAACAGTTGCTTTGATTCCCTGTCTGTCACTTAGGGACATTCTTGATTTCAAATTCCCTTGATTTATGAGACAGGATTATATGTTGTTGTTTTTTTTAAAAAACTCCAGCACCTCCCATTAAAAGTTCAATCTTATGAATCTTTACTCAGAAATACATCTTAGCATCTTCAGTGAGATGTTTGCCTCTAGAGAAGCCTGCTGATAATGGAGGCTGAATCTAACTTTCCATAAGGGTGCAAATAGTAGTGGTTTGCCAACTGTTCCCTGTCATTGATGAAGTTAGTTAGTTTGGTAATGAAACATCTGCAAGAACACCACCAAGCTCAGAGACCTCACAGCTCAACTCGAGCTATAAATATTCTCTTCCACTTGTTACCTATCCTGTTTTGGGGTCTTCAGCAGAAATCTAGAGATGACCCAGAATAGAATAGAATAGAATAGAATAGAATAGAATAGAATAGAAAATATAGAATAGAATAGGAGATGGAAGGGATCTTGGAGGTCTTGTAGTCCAGCCCCCTGTTCAAGCAGGAGAACCTCTACTATCTCAGACAAGTGACTGCCCAGTCTCTTCTTAAAAATCTCCAGTGATGGAGCGTCCACGATTTCTGAAGGCAAGCTGTTCCATTGGTTAATTGTTCTCACCGTTAGGAATTTTCTCCTTAATTCCAGGTTGCTTCTCTCTTTGACCAATTTCCAACCATTGTTTCTCATCCTGCCCTTTGGTGCTTTGGAGAATAGTTTGACATCCAATTCTTTGTGGCAGCCCCTCAAACACTGGAATACTGCTATCATGTCGCTCCTGTTTCTTCTTTTCTTTAGACTAGCCAAACCCAAGTCCTGTAGCCCTTCTTCATATGTTTTAGTCTCCAGGCCTTTGATCCTCTTAGTTGCTCTTCTCTGAACTTTTTCCAAGGTCTCTTAATAGTCCCAGAATGCCCTGGGACAAAGAAGTCCACCCAAACTTGACTGTGACTATGTCTGCCCAAGAGCGAAGGGTTGGTGAGAACAGCCCAACAATTTAGCCATCTGGAATTCCTCCATATTGTTAGCAGGTGGTCATCTCCACCAGCTTTGTAGGGTGGTTCTCCTCTGCTGGATAAGATCGAAAGCAAAACCAGTAGTTCCCAGTATGGAAAGGAGCATTTAGTCACCTAGGCCAGGGTTAGGCAACCTTGGCTCTTTTATGATTCGTCGACTTCAACTCCCAGAATTCCTGAGCCAGCATGGCTCAGCTTGGAAACCTCTCCCTTTCCCCTCAGCATGGCTGGCTCAGGGATTCTGGGAGCTGAAGTCCATGAGTCATAAAAGAGCCAAGATTGCCTATCCCTGACCTAGGCAGTGCCCATCAGACCACAGTTCATGACACATGCACAAGACCAAAAGGGCAGAGAAGAAAAACAATTAAACACAGGTGTGCAAAAGGTGGTTTAAGGTTCCGCGGTGACGTCGTTTAGTCTCCAAACATTCCTTGTTCCCTTTTGGTTGAGAACCATTGGCAGATACCCGATCATCACGCAACGAAAGCTTTCTTCATAAGGCTTAATCCAAAAATCTTGTCTAAATATTTTTAGGCTGTTGCCAAGGTAGCACGGGGAGAGAAATCTTGCTTGAATGTTATGTAAGAGGTGAGCCACAGCTGTTTTGAGGATGAGTGAGTAAACTTAGAGGATTTAGTCATTTGGGGAGTTTTTGCTGCTGCTGTTGTTCCGCCTCACACACTCCATTAAGCCAAGATGTCTCCTTGTCTTTGACCGGCCTAAGTGTGTGGCTTAGTGTAAATAGTTCTTCAATACATCCGATTAATGATTTTCCCACATGCTATTTTTGTAGAAGACGCCTGTTAAATGATACTTTGAGTTAAAATATTTCCTTGGAAAAGGAATAGCAGAAGAAGAGAAGAGTTGCACTGCTTGATATAAGCTTACACTGTCTTAAATTATTTTTTTTAAATCTAAAAATCAAAAAGTGAGGGTAGGATATTAATCTTTATATTGAATACTTTCAGCTGTCCATGAATTCTGCTGTCCAGATACTTTCTGAATATTTTGTGACTTAAAAAAAAGAGATCATACTAAATAATAATAAAAGATCCTTTAATATACAGTGTGGCTTGTCCAATTGTTAAAGTTTTTTAACTAACCATGGATTTGCTCTCCTTAAGTTATCACTGACTCGCCAGGAGGTCATCAAAGAAGTGGAAGATGTAAAACGGAGGTCTTTGCACATTTTAGCATTTTTATATTGTTGAAGAAAAAGTCTTCATCATGATTCATCCAAGCTGGGAATAAACAACATGGCGACTGCTTTAGAAAGAAGGTTACAGTTTATTGAAGAGGAGAGTCAGACAGAAAGATGGCTCTGGAAGAAAAGAGAGAGTGAGCACGTGTAGGGAGTGGGTTCTTATACCCTCTGGAGCCTTTTGTTTGGAGTAGTTTCCTGTTCCTGGCTTTGAGTTTCCTGTGTCACGTATTCTGAGTCTGGGTGTGCCTTTCTGGTATTCTGATGGTGGTGAGTTAATCCTATTATGTCCCAAGGGTCATATCCTGCTTCCCTGGGGCTGGGGCTGAGGACTCTTAGATTTTTGGTGTTGACTCTAGAGATCTTTCTTCCTAATCCCAGCTTCCTGACTTCAGTCTTTCTGACAAGATTATCTGCATTTCTGCAGATTTGGTTTTTGCTTGGCACAGAGACTTGGGGGCAGGGTTAAAATCCTTTAGGGAAATATATTCTGCCCTTTTAATATTTCCTTCTCTGGAGGGCTGGCTTCCCACAATATATATATAACCTAGCCTCAAAACAACTCACTGGGTGCATGGAGAACCTTTCAGATGCATAGAAGTGCTCAAAAACCTTCAGTGCATTACGAAGAAGTGTTTCATAGGAACAATGATGGAGAACATAATTCTGTAGTTATGTAGCTAAAAAAAAGTGACACGCCAATAGAGATGACTCTGTCTGAAATTTGTTACTACAGGAATATCCAACCTTGGCAATTGTATGACTGGTGGACTTCAATTCCCAGAATCCCTCAGCCAGCATGGCTGGCTAACTGGGGAATTCTGGGAGTTGAAGTCCACAGGTCTTAAACTTGCCAAAGTTGGACACCTCTGTGTTAGCATGAACCAGCCTTATGTGCCTTGTGGTATCGGGGTTTATTTTGTCCTCTCCAGATACGTTTTTTTTTTTTTTAAAAAAAAATCTTGTTATGTCATTGTCTTTAGAACAGCTTCACTCCTTTGAGCTAGAATGTTATCATATGAAACCCTGGATCCATATCTGAATTTGGAACTGCCTTCTGAAACTGTATTTATAGATCTGCTACAAATTCTTGCCTGAGCAGGGGGTTGGACTAGATCAGTGGTTCTTAACCTGGGCGATATAGCCCCCCAGGGGGTGATTTTGTTTTTCAAGGGGGCGAAAGGAACGAAAAGGGGGCGACGTGGGGGCGAAAGGAACGAAAAGGGGGTGATATGGGGGCGATGGAGCGAGAGGTTTTGGGGACACTTTTGAGATTTTTTCGTACAGTGAATCGCTGTGTATCTGTCGTACAAAAACATCAGATTGCTCGCTGTTAGTGGATTGAATTGTGTTTTCAAAGGTTCCTCCAGCTAGCTTCAGTACAGAATGCCACACATCTGTGAATACGTATCGCTTATCTTCATGCGCGTTGCGCAGCAGCCTCTACCCATACAGTGGCGGGCCATTGGCCAGAATATGGGAGATATGGGAAAAAGACTGGAAATAAATGATTTGCATCGATATGTCCTGATGACAATTTTAAAGAAAACAAAAAAGTGTTTGCATAAATTGAAGAATTATTTCCTATGTTGTGATTGAGAGGTTATGTTGGGGGAGGGGGGGCGATGACAACTTCTTCATTGGCTCAAGGGGGCGATTCATTCAAAAAGGTTAAGAACCACTGGACTAGATGACCTCCAAGGTCCCTTCCAACTCTATTAGTATTATCAATATTATTACCACCTACACTGTCCCTTCCAGCTCTGTGATTCGGCTCCTGATCTGGAAGGTCCCTTCCAGCTCTATTTTAAATTTGAATTTGCCTTCACTAATAACCAATTATCAGCTCTGAACTGTTCCCAGGAACTCACTCCAGCTTCAACAGCTGAAGCATCAAATCAGGAAGAAGAGAAAAAGGGGGGGGAGTCGCAAAAGACGTCATGCTCGCCTTTCCCCCTCCAAGTCAAGAACCAACCCATCTTAATCAGCAATCACATGATGGTTGTTGCACGCCGAGCATTTCCCTGTCACGACTCCATGATGATAAGCCACCTTGGAAATACTTTTGGCAGATTGTGTCCTGCATACCTGAGATAGAAACCAAGTTCCATCAGAGATGTTTCAAAGGGATTCTCTGGGATATCCAAGGGCAGGGAATGGGGGGGGGGCTGCCTGTTTATTTAGGAATGACTTATTTGGAGAGCAGCCCAATGGCTATGAGAAGAAGAAAAGGGGAATGAATGTGTACATCTGTGAAAAACACTTACTGCATTGCACACCAAAGCTCCCTGTGGCTCAACCACCTGCCTGCCCCCCCCCCAGCCTAGGAGCAAAGCCCCCTCCTCAAAGAGGTATGGAACATTTGTTGCGTGAGGCACAGAAATCTCTGGGTGATGCTGTTAGAGAGGGGTGGGGTCTGCAGCTCTCTTGGGAGCAACATGTAAGCAATGGGCCATCGCTGCCTTTCCAATTCCAGTCCCTGCCCTGCCCCAGGTGCTATAGAGGCTGGACCTGAATTAACCTTTTCCCAGACCAGCCATTAGTCAACTGAGCATCCTCACGTCAAACCCAACAGCCCGTGTCTTCACAACCACCTTCAAGACATTTTCTGAACAGAAATACAGAGCTGGTTCTTTCCAGTGCTACATAGCATCTTTTGCATTTCCTGGTGGTCCCCCATCCAAGCCCCAACTAAACCTAAACAAACTTCACTTCCCAGGTCAGCCAACAATGTCCAGGGCCAGCCTGAGAGTCACCCGGCTCACTATCTGGGCGAGTCCCTGCAATAAATGTCAATGGCAAGGGAAGCCCTCACATTTGCACAGCCTGCTCACTTTGGCTAGTCTTCTGCCCGGTTAAGTTGGCCTCCAAAGAGCCTATTGAACAATGCCAGGGGTCTGGATGTGCAAACCCAGGAGTGGGGAAGCAGGTCGTGTGAACAGAGCCTCGGGTCCCCATGAATCCTCCTTTAGGTTGTTCTAGGCCAGGGGTGGGGAACGATGGCCTTTTTATGACTTCTGGATTTCTGCTCCCAGAACTCCATGAAATACAGACCGAGAATTGTTCTGGACGGTTCATCGTAAATACTGTGCCCTGTTTGGGCCCCTCAAATTCTGTGCAGGAGAGGCAGAGAAGGACAAGGTGAATGATCAAATCCTCCCATTGCAGCAAAAAGTATTTAAGGGTATCTTTTTACCAAATAATTTCAATTTACCATGAAATCAGTTGAAATTGATGCAATTAAATGGCACGGACAGTTTACTGTTGCATAATGTATTGGGTGTAAATTCCGATTTATGACTAACGTTCTTCTAAATAAAACGAAGTGGTATGGACAGAATCACTACTTGTAGCCTTTGTAGATTTTAAGCCTACGTTTGATTCCATTTGAGAGAAATCTTGATGAGTGTGGAGAATACATTAGAAAGGGATGTCACTTTTTCTACTGCATCCAATTTACAAGAGTTTCATACATCTGGAGATGGCCTTACGTGGTGCTGACATTTGGAAAACCTATATAGATTATATCAAAAATGAGATGGAGCTCTTTCACAGCCACAAAAAAAAGAGGCTGAATTAGCCTAGACTCAACCATGTCACACTTGCTCCAATTAGGCACCAAGTGGGATGATCATTTAAAGGCAATTTATTAGTCTATTATAGCAAAGAGATTTCCCTGAATGAAAAGAGGGAATCCAGGACACAGAATCGGGTTTCATTTTATATGCCTTATAGTAGAAAAAGTACAAAACAAGACTTGATTGGATGGAACAAATCACCCTGCTCAGTTACGCCAGAGACATGGACAGTAACATCCCATAATATTAAGCATAACCATTGAAATGTGCATTGCATTAAAAGGAGAACGCTGATATGGGGGAAAGTGTCACGAGTCAAACGAGGCTGTTACTAAAAGGTACAATTTCAACCAAAGAGTTTCAGTTTGGCATTGAACACAATCGTTCCCCAGCATCTAGTACACAAATTGGACCTTTTGGGCTTAAACACTCTATGTGTAACTGGATTCTTGATTTTCTTACCAAAGGCTGCAATATGTGAAAGTTGGAACAAATACCCCTAATACCATTTTCTTGAGCACAGTTTCTCCTCAGGGCTGCGTCCCACATCTGCTGCTGTTCACCCTGTTGACCCATGACTGTTGTGCTAGGTTTGTCACCAACCATATAGTGAAGTTTGCAGATAACACAACAGTAGTGGGCCTTATTCATGATGACAATGAGGGCGCTTACCGCAAGGAGGTTGAAGGGTTGGTGATCTGGCGTAAGGAAAACAGCCTAGTTTTAAATACCGGAAAAACCATAGAAATCACTGTCGATTTCAGAAAAGGCAGGCACACCCACACTTCTCTGTGCATTAATGATTCACCTGTGGAGATGGTTACCAGCGTCAAATTCTCGGGTGTGCAGCTAATGAGTAACATTACATAGCCCTTGAAAAAGTGTGTAAAATTTAATCAAATTCCACTATTTGGCATCACAGACGAGCACAATCATTAAACAGAGTATAGCAATAAAGGGTGCAATAAATGGTGCTGTGCATAAGTTTACTCACTCCTGAGAATATAGTGTTCACTCATGTTGACAAAGGTTGAGATGGCAATGGAGGGTAAGAGTTCACACCTGTCTTACTGAGCTGTACTTAGGTCTGTGATAAACATTCAAGTAGTGCAGTATTGCAGGCAGACTGTCCACAGCCTGGAGTTTGATTCTGAGAGCGCTCAAGCCTTGACTCAGCCATCCATCCTTCTGAGGATGGTAAAAGGAGGACCCAGATTGTTGGCGGCAATATGCAAATAATGTTTACCTTATAAATCTCCCAGAGTGCGCTGTAAAGCATATGGGGCGGCATATAAGCCTAAATGCTATTGTTATTTCAGTGGCACCGTTGTGACTGAAGGTTTTTCCACTCGGGCATATTTAGCATTTTTTCCCCATGTGAATTCTTTGATGTCGATAGAGGTGTCCACAAACAATAAAAGTCTTTCCACACTCAAGGTATTTGTATTGTTTTTCTCCAGAGTGGATTGATGCCGATAAAGACTTCCCTTCCCACGGAAACTCTTTCTACGCATTTATATGGTTTCTCTCCTGAATGGAGTCTTTGATGTCTGTAAAGATTTCCCCTCTGACTACAGCTACTTCCACACTCCCGACATTTATATGCTTTTTCTCCTCTGTGAATACTTTGATATTTACGGAGACCTTGACTTTCAGTAAAGCTCTTTCCACACTGGAGGCATTTACAGGTAGTCCCCCAGATACGAGAGTTCATTGAGCCACTTTTCACAAAAACAATTAAATTAATTCAGGAAGGGTACCTACATTAGAAATTCAGAACTGCGACCAAAAAGGTCTGTCTAGCCATGTGACTTGGTTTCAATCACTAACGCCGTGGCGGCCATTTTTATCTCTGACTTTCCTTGGCTGTTTGGGGCTACAAGAAGTTGGCAGGGTTTGGGGTTTTTTTTTTTGGTCCATGGCCACATAGCCAAACAAGTGCTGAGCCAGCTCCGGTTTTTGCTTTTGCTAGCTGAAGATGCTTGAGCTGGCTAGCAGCTGTTATTTTTTTAAAAAAGGTAACTCCAATGGTTCCAAGCTAAATTGGCATTTATAGGGTTTCTCCGCTGTGTGGATTCTTTGATGTGAATAAAGGTGTCCCCTCTGACTGAAGCTCTTTCCACATTCCAGACATTTATGCGGTTTTTCTCCTGTGTGGATCCTTTGATGTACATAAAGGTTTCCCCTCTGACTGAAACTCTTTCCACACTCCAGGCATTTATAAGGTTTTTCTCCTGTGTGGATCCTTTGATGTTTATAAAGGGTTCTGCTCAGACTGAAGTTCTTTCCACACTCCAGGCATTTATGTGGTTTTTCTCCTGAGTGGATCTTTTGATGTGTATAAAGGTTGCTCCTGTGACTGAAACTCTTTCCACACTCCAGGCATTTATAAGGTTTCTCTCCTGTGTGGATCCTTTGATGTTTATAAAGGTATCCCCTCTGACTGAAGCTCTTTCCACATTCCAGGCATTTATGTGGTTTTTCTCCTGAGTGGATTTTTTGATGTATATAAAGGTTGCTCCTCTGTCTGAAGCTCTTTCCACACTCCAGACATTTATGCGGTTTTTCTCCTGTGTGGATCCTTTGATGTTTATAAAGGCTGCTCCTGTGATTGAAACTCTTTCCACACTCCAGGCATTTATAAGGTTTTTCTCCTGTGTGGATCCTTTGATGTACATAAAGGCTTCCCCTCTGACTGAAGCTCTTTCCACACTCCAGGCATTTATAAGGTTTTTCTCCTGTGTGGATCCTTTGATGTTTATAAAGGGTTCTGCTCAGACTGAAGCTCTTTCCACACTCCAGGCATTTATGTGGTTTTTCTCCTGAGTGGATCTTTTGATGTGTATAAAGATTGCTCCTGTGACTGAAACTCTTTCCACACTCCAGGCATTTATAAGGTTTCTCTCCTGTGTGGATCCTTTGATGTTTATAAAGGCTTCCCCTCTGACTGAAGCTCTTTCCACACTCCAGGCATTTATGTGGTTTTTCTCCTGAGTGGATCCTTTGATGTATATAAAGGTTGCTCCTGTGTCTGAAGCTCTTTCCACACTCCAGGCATTTATTCTGTTTCTCTCTTGAGTGGATCCTTTGATGTGTATAAAGATGTCCCCTCTGACTGAAGCTCTTTCCACACTCCAGGCATTTATGCGGTTTCTCTCCTGAGTGGATCCTTTGATGTATATAAAGGTGTCCCCTCTGACAGAAGCTCTTTCCACATTCCAGGCATGTATGTGGTTTTTCTCCCGAGTGGATTTTCTGATGTATATAAAGGCTGCTCCTGTGAATGAAGTTCTTTCCACATTCCAGGCAGTTAAATGGTTTTTCTCCTGTGTGGATTCGTAGATGGTTTACAAGAGCTGTATTTGTTTTGAACGATTTTCCACATTCTGCGCATTCATATTTCTCTTCTCCCTCCTGGAATCTTTGGGGATTCCCGAGTCTTCCGCCTGTCCCGAAGGACCCTCCGCCCTCCAGGCCCGTCTCGGGGTCTCCGCCCGTTTCCTGCTCCCCGCTTCTCCCTCCAGGCAGCCTCCTTTGGCGGCGTCCCCTTCGGCTCATCCCTGCCGTCTCCTCCCGGGGCTGCTCCGCGGGGCCTCCTCTCCTCTCGGGCGGCGCCTCCTTCCTTCCGCCGGCGGGCTCGCCCGTCCTCCTGCAGGGGCGAAGGGAGGGAGGAGAGGCGGGTCACATCCCTGGAGGGGAGTCCCAGGCCCGCCCGGGGAGGAAGGCCGAAGCCTCCGCCTCTCAGTGAGACTTTCCGGGCAGGCCTCCCTTCTAGCGCCCGTCCCGCCAGACCAGGCCTCGGGCTCTCCCCTCCCCCCCCGGGGTTCCCTTCTCCGCCAGAGAGCCTCTCGGACTGCGACTCCCAGCATCCCCTGCGCCCTACCTGGATTGCGAGCCAGCCCGCGCCCGAATCAATTGGGCGGCTACGTTCCATTCGTTTCCGGAAGTGGAGGCGGGACTTCGCTGCGAGCCCTTTGCCTGTCACCGGTAGCTCTTCCTCTTTCTTTTGAATGGAGCGTCCCGAGGAGTCCTCCTGCCAATCGCTGCCCTCCCCAGAGCGACCAATCGGCGTCCTGCTTCCTTCCAACCGTGAGCCACATGGCGCCTGCGCAGTAGCGAAGGTGGTTTCTCGGCAAGGGAGTGGGGCGAGGGGCTCCCCTTGAAGTCTTCTCGCCCCCCCCCGCATCCAGGCCGGCGGAGCTGAGGGGCCCCCCTCCCCATACTGGGGGTCTCTCCCTAGGCAGGGCGGGGGGGCGCTTCCTCCCTCCTTACTCCTGGGGGGCTCCGGCCAGCCCCCCCCCGCGGCCCCCCAGGCAGCCCCTCTCCCGGGCGGGGGGGGGTCGGAGCAGGTGAGGAGAAGGGCGGGGGGGGAGATGAGAGCAGCCTTCCCATATCTGGGGGGGCGCCCCGAAGAGGAGGGGGCCCAGCTCTTCCCCGAAGCCCCCCCCTGAAGGCAGGAGGAGCAGCGACGGAGGGAAACTGGCCGGGGAAGGAAGGAGGGATCTCCTGACAGGGAGAACTGTTAACCGGTGGAACTACCTGCCTCCAGAATGCTCCAACACTGGAGGTTTTAAAGAAGAGACTGGACAGTCATTTGTCTGAAATGCCATAAGGCAGTGGTTCTCAACCTTTTTAATGCTGTGACCCCCCCAACCGGTCGTAAGTCGAGGACTACTCAACTGGTCGTAAGTCGAGGACTACTCAACTGGTGCAGCACCGTTTGCAGAATGGGGCTTTTGGTGGGCTCAACAGGGCAGAGACAGCCTGGACAATTCCTATTGGCTTTTGAAAGCCAATAGAATTAGACTCTATTCAAGAAAGTCTATTCTATTGGCTTTCAAAAGCCAATAGAATAAAAGGGAGTAGCACAGCTAAGGAAAAGGGGGGAAAAATGGCGGACTGCGTTGTTTGGTGACCCCCGTGAAATGGTCGTTCGACCCCAAATGGGGTCCCGACCCACAGGTTGAGAACCACTGGTATAGGGTCTCCTGCCTGAGCACGTGGATGGACTAGATGACCTCCAAGGTCCCTTCCAACTCTTATTAGTATTATTAATATTATTACCACCTACACTGTCCCTTCCAGCTCTGTGATTCGGCTCCTGATCTGGAAGGTCCCTTCCAGCTCTATTTTAAATTTGAATTTGCCTTCACTAATAACCAATTATCAGCTCTGAACTGTTCCCAGGAACTCATTCCAGTTTCAGCAGCTGAAGCATCAAACCAGGAAGAAGAGAAAAAGGGGGGGGGAGTCGCAAAAGACATCATGCTCGCCTTTTCCCCTCCAAGTCAAGAACCAGCCCATCTTAATCAGCAATCACATGATGGTTGTTGCACATCGAGCATTTCCCTGTCACGACTCCATGATGATAAGCCACCTTGGAAATACTTTTGGCAGATTGTGTCCTGCATACCTGAGATGAAACCAAGTTCCATCAGAGATGTTTCAAAGGGATTCTCTGGGATATACAAGGGCAGGGAATTGGGGGGGGGGCTGCCTGTTTATTTAGGAATGACTTATTTGGAGAGCAGCCCAACGCCCAACGACTATGAGAAGAATAAAAGGGGAATGAACGTGTACATCTGTGAAAAACACTTACTGCATTGCACACCAAAGCTCCCTGTGGCTCAAGCACCTGCCTGCCCCCCCCCAGCCTAGGAGCAAAGCCCCCTCCTCAAAGAGGTATGGAACATTTGTTGCCTGAGGCACAGAAATCTCTGGGTGATGCTGTTAGAGAGGGGAGGGGTCTTCAGCTCTCTTGGGAGCAACATGTAAGCAAGCAATGGGCCATTGCTGCCTTTCCAATTCCAGTCCCTGCCCTGCTCCATGAAATAAATTTTCGTTAATAATTGTCTGAACTTTTATCATTGTATTTGCTTGCATTGGATTTCACGTTCCAGTTTTGAGTTTTCAGTTTCATTTTCGAATTTTTGTTGTGCTCTGTAAAACAGTTTGTGTGTTTTTGTATTGTACTTTTTTAGCGTGCACTCCAGTTTGATATATTTTCTTTGTGTCTTTTTAATCCTTTTTACAATGTGCGTGACTATATATACTTTCCTCGAATCTTAATTTAGTTTCAGAGTTTTCATCTTGAAATTCTTAGTTCCTGCATTGCGGTTTGATCTTATGCCTTTTTTATATTTCTTTTTGCGTCTTAAATTTCACTTGTAATTCAGTCATTAAATGTGATGGGTGGCACCAAAATTTTTCACACAGTTGAGATATGGGAAAAAGACTGGAAATAAATTATTTGCATCAATATGTCCTGATGACAATTTTAAAGAAAACAAAAAAAGTGTTTGCATAAATTGAAGAATTATTTCCTATGTTGTGATTGAGAGGTTATGTTGGGAGGGGGGGCAATGACAACTTCCTCATTGGCTCAAGGGGGCGATTAGTTCAAAAAGGTTAAGAACCACTGGACTAGATGACCTCCAAGGTCCCTTCCAACATCATCATCATCATCATCATCATCCTCATCATTATTATTATTATAAAATCCATGGGTCTTATTTTTGAAATCAGCTCAACTGTACTCCAAGCATGTTTGCCCCCTACAGCAGCTGAGATGGGGCATAACCATCTCATCTCTGTCTCTTACCATCAGGCAAGAAATAAATAATAACCCAGTCAAGGAACTGCCAAACTGTTGGAATTGATTGTTGGAATGCATTTTTGTCCAACAACTACAGCAGTAGTATTCAGCCAGTAGATGGCAGTGTTTACAAGTTTGGATCTATGGTATATACACCAAGGATGGCAAACCTTTTAGAGATCTGAGTTCCCAAAAACTGCCTCCCCCCTGCCCTGCCCCCGCCTCTCCTGCATGCAGGGCCACTCACCACCTCCACGGCCCCGCCACAGCAGATCACCCAGACAGCCTAGCAGTGTCATGGTGGCCACGCCCTCTGTCCGCGCCCCACAGCATCATCTGTACACGATGGAGCACGAGGGCGGAGTCTTGTCCCCGCTGCCCAGTTGCCATGTCCTTGGCTGCGCTGCTCTGTGCATGCTGCGCCCACGGCAACTCTCCTCCGGGGGGCTGCTGGTGAGGAGGAGGCCATGGGGAGTGGTGGGGCTGAGGCGACGGTGTGTGTGCCCACAGAGAGGGCTCTGAGTGCTGCCTCTGGCACCTGTGCCATAGGTTCGCCACCACTGGTATACACTCTCCTTCTTTGTTCTAAGTAGTTTCCTGTTTCCTGTTACAGTTTAAAGTAGGTAAGCAGTAAAGCACATGGTGACTGCACTCTTTGTTTGATCTGTGCTGCTATATATAAACAGAATTTCTAACAAGCAAATGGTAAACAGCCCAACCAAATAACCTCTAAGACCACTTCCATCAATACTGACAGGACAATTCCCTAGAAGATAAATTGAGAGCAAACCCCACTCCTTATGGGCACTGATGATGTTACATACTTAGGTAATGAAATAGCTGCCAGAAAAGAAGCAAGCTCAGAGAGCGCCAAGGACTCCAGAGTTCAACCCTGAGCTGCAAATATTCTTTATTGAACTCATTCTATATTAGAAACCTGGAAAAACCCAGCCGTTTCTTACAAAGAGGCCCCCAGACAATGCCTGATGTTTTGCTCCCTCTGCTGGTTTCTTGATTTATCTGTCTCCATTTCCTAAATGTACCGAAAGGATTAAATGAAAATACTACCATACGATAAAAGCAGCAGAACTCAAATCATCAACATTTTGGAGAGGTTAAGCCCAGTGGCCAATATGGTTTCAGTAATATGTAATTCTAAAAATATGGAGCAATAGAAATGACTAGGCAAAACATTCAATACAAACCGGAGACTTTACTATTAGGAATACTAAAGAAAAATGTAAATAAAGAGGACACATATTTAATTATCCATGTGGTCACAGCAGCAAGGATACTATTTGCTCAAAAGTGGAAAGCAATGGAAGTACCGAGTGGGGAAGCACTAATAAAGAAAATTATGTATTGCACAGAACTAGATAGGACAACTAAAAGATTAAAAAATCAGGAAGAAACAGAATCTTATCGAATATGGAATAAATTTTATAGATGGAGGGAAAAAAATTGGAGGTCACAGTAAAGAGATAAATTGAGATAGAGACTAGAAATGTATAGTTGTATATAGGTATATTATATGTAATTAATGTACAATATGGACTGAGATGTCAGTCAAAGACGATTTACCACGTTCAATGTTTTTAATCTTTTTTTTCTTTGTACTTAATTAAAAAAAATAAAAATATGGAGCCACAAGTGGTCCATGCAAGTTGTTGGTGTTGAAGGGCTGCATCTGAATCAGAGGAATGACTAGACTTCAGAAGTTGTGGGTGCTCCAATACTGGGGGTTTTGGACAGCCACTTGTCTGGAATGGTTGGGGGTGGGCAGAGAGTTGGACTAGAAGACCTCCAAGGTCCCTTCCAACTCTTGTTAGTCTGTAATTCTCTAAGAGTGTCCTGCTTGAGAAATGGATTGGATTAGATCAGGGCTTTTCAACCAGTGGTATGGGTACCACCTAGAAAAGTAGTGGGGGAGGGGAATGAGCTGAACTGGTGGCAGCACCGCACAAGCCTGAGCGAGAGATGGCTGCAGCTGCAGGGCTGTCAGGGCTCAGCAGAAGCACCAGGATCAGCGCCAGGCTCCAGCTGGAGCTCAGTGCTGATCCTGGCGCTTCTGCTGAGCCCAGAAGAAGCGCTGATCAGCTGGAATGCTGCAGCATCTCCAGGGTCGTGTGATTTACATTCAGATGCTTGGCAACTGATTCATATTTATGACAGTCACAGTGTCCCAGCGTCATGTGAAGTGACCAAAACCTGCTGCAACCATCCAGCAGATGGAGGGGGGGGGGATAAAAACCAAACACCCCCCACCCCACCCCCACTGCCAATCCTCAACAGAAATGCTCACAACAATGAAAACCTCGGACAGGAGGAAGAGCACTGCAGGGTGGGCAGGCAGGTGTTTTGCTCAGCTGTAACTTGGGGGGCACTTTTTTCAGTGCCATTGTAACTTCGAACAGTCACTAAGTGAATTGTTGTAAGTCGAGGACTACCTGTACTTTATCATTTTTTCCTTTTTTGGGGGGGGGGGGTCATCAAGTTTTTGATACCTTGCTAGGTGGCTGGTGGTCCTCGGATGTTGCCATATCCTAAAAGTGGCACAATGAGTGAAAAGGTTGAAAATCCCTGGACTAGATGATCTCCAAGATCCCTTCCAACTCGGTTATTCTGTTATCTGGTGCTTGGCTACCAATGCATCAGTGATTCACTCATGTGACACTCATATTGTGAAAAGA